CGTGGCTCGCGCGGCGGCGAGACGCGCAGCGGCGGGAGCTCGGCCTCGCGGGCGGCCCGGCGCCCGAGGCGCCGGCGGCGCCGGCCGCGAGCGCGCCGGCCTGCGACCACTGCGGCGCCGCGGGCGCCAAGCTCCGGTGCTCGGGCTGCCGGTCCGTCGTCTACTGCGCTCGCGCCTGCCAGGCGTCGGCCTGGAAGGCGCACCGGGAGACCTGCGCGGGCGCCGCGCGCGACCGGGCGCGCCGCGCGAAGCGCGCCGTCGCCGACCGGGCCCGGGCCGAGGCCGACGCGGCCGCGAAATTGGCCGAGGCCGAGGCCGCCGCGGAGGCCGTCGCCGCGGCGCTCGAGGAGGCCGAGGCGGCCGAGGCCGGGGTCCGCGAGGAGCGCGCGGCGGCGGACGCCATGGCGCGGACTGTGGCCGCGGGCCTCGACGCGCCCGACGCGGCGCCGAAGCCGTCGGAGATGAAGCGGGCGGTCGCGTCGACGCGCGCGTGGGCCGAGGGCCAGCGCCCGAAGAAGCCCCTGACCCCGGCCCAGCGCCAGAAGCGCGAGGCGCTCTTCCTCGCGGCGCAGAAGGCCAAGGACATGGCGCGGGGCGAGGGCACGAGCCGGCCGTCGCGGCCGAAGGCGCGCGAGCCCAAGTCGCTGAGCCGCGACTACGAGAAGTGGGACGGCTTCGACGACTTCTCCGACGGCGACGAGGCGTGGCAGGGCACGCTGCCCCTGGCGTCCACCTACGGCAAGTGGGACGCCTACGACGGCGAGTCGTCCGACGACGACGCGCCGGCGCGCGACCCGCGCGGCTACGACAAGCTCTGGTGCCCCGTGCACAACGTGAGCCACTACGGCGAGTGCGCCAAGTGCGTCGCGGCGCGCGGCGGGACCTACGAGCCCGTGCTCGCGCCCAAGGCCTACGTGCCGCGGCGCGACCCCAAGGACGTCGACGCGGCGATGGAGTCCATGGAGACTAAGGTGAAGGACCACGCGCGCGCGAAGGACGTGCTCCACCAGCTCAAGGCGAAGATCGACGGCATCCCCGACGACGAGGTGTCCATCCGGGGCTGCCTCGAGGCGATCAAGATCGCCGGCGCCTACTCGCCCAAGGACGCGACGATCCACCAGCTCCTCAAGCCGCCGGACGAGCAGCCGCCGCGGCCCCAGGGCCCCCTGCCGGAGGGGAAATAGCATGGTTTTACCGCCGCAGCTGCGCCCCGGCGTAGCCCAGCGCCGCGCCGAGCGCCAGGGTGGCGGCGGAGACGCCGCCGCCCCCCCGGGCCTCGGCGAGGCGCCGGTTGTGGCCCGCGTTCGTCTGCTCCGCGGACGCCTCGGCGGCCTCGGCGGGCTTGGGCTTGTTGTCGCCGCCGAGCGTGTTGTGGACCGTCTTCGTCGCGAGCTGGTACGTCGCGTAGGGCATGCCGAGGTCGTCGCGCCACGGCGTCCACACGCCGCCGAAGAGCGCGGGGTCCGCGAGGGGCCCGTCGTCGAGCCAGATCTCCGTGGACTCCGGCGTCGAGTCGCGGAGCTCGGCCCACTTCTCGAGGATCGTCGCCTTGACGTCGGCGAACTCGTCGAGGTCGTACAAATTGCGGCAGCTCCGCGCGTCGTCGCAGTCCTCCTCGTCGAGCTCGTTCGGGTTCGCGACGACGTCGAAGAGGGACGTGGTGCCCGGCGTGCGGAGCAGCTTCTGGTGGATGACCTGGGACAGCTCACTCTGGTCCCAGTTGTCGTCCTGGAGCATGTGCTGGCCGTACTCGTAGATCTCGCTCTCCGTGACGCGCGCCTCGACGATGAGCTTGTACTCGCCGACGCGCAACGCGCCCGCGGCGCCGAAGAGCTCGCTGTTGATGTTGTGGGCGACGTGGGTCCGCTGGGACGCGGCCGCGGACGCGCCGGAGACGAACGCGTCCCACTGGTCGACGCCGTCGAGCGAGTCCGTGAGGTGCTCGTGCGACAGCACGTCGTCGAGGGCCGTCTCGGCGTAGGACTGGGGCTGCTGCCCCGGCTCGAGGCGCCGCAGGTGGCCGACCTTGGCCGCGGCGACCGCGGGCGCCGCGCGCTTGTCCTCCTTCGAGGAGACGCCCGCGACGCGTAAAGCCGTCGCGTGCAGGTCCGTGATGTGGACGAGCCCCTCGAAGACGCGCCCGGCGCTCAGGAGCTTGGCGAGGTAGCCGCCGGAGACGAAGGCGGGCACGCGGATGCCGCCCTCGTAGTAGGAGCCCTTCTCGCCCCGGAGGTCCAAATTCGACGACCCGTGCCGGAGGATGCCGCCGTTGTCCGACAAAAAGAAGAGGAGCGTGTTCTCCCACATGGCCTCGGCCTTGAGGTCGTCGTGGATCGACGCGAGGCTCTCGTCGACCATGGAGACCATGCCGCAGAGCTGGCGCCGGAGCCGCGTCGCTGACGCGGAGCCCGCGCGTAGCGATTCGCAGCCGTTCGCGTAGGCGGACCCGTCGACGTACTCGTCGGGCACCTGGATGGGCGCGTGCACAGCCTGGTAGGACACGGTGAGGAAGAGGGGCACGTCGGCCATTTCCGCGTATTTCGCGACGTACGCGCGCGACTTCGCCGTATAGAGGTGCGTCGAGTGCGTGTCCCGGACGCCCTCCTCGTCCTCGCCGACGGGCCGGCCGTTGTGCCACAGGTTCGACCCCGTCATCGTCGTGATCTTCGACTTGTAGTCGGGCCCGCGCATCGCGAAGGATTCGGTGGACGCGTGCGCCACGTGGTCGCCGCCGCCCGTCAGGATGCCGAAGAACTCGTCGAAGCCCCGCTGCGACGGCGTGTAGGCCGCCTGGTGGAAGCCCAGGTGCCACTTGCCGACGAAGACCGTGCCGTAGCCCGCGTCCTTGAGCTTCTGCGAGAGGAACGTCTCCTTGAGAGGGACGCCGCGCGGCTCGGACGGGTGGATGACGGAATCTTGAAGTCCCAAGTGCATGGGGTACTTGCCCGTGAAGAGCGCCGCGCGCGACGCCGTGCACGTCGGCGACGCGTAGAAGGACGTCAGCGTCACGCCGCCGGAGGCGAGCTTGTTCATCGTCGGCGTCGCCGCGTGGAGCTCGCGGTTGTTGTAGCCGACGTCGCCGTAGCCCAGGTCGTCGACGATGGCGAGGACGATGTGGGGCTGGGACGTCTCGTTGCGCGCCGCGGACGCGGCGGCGGCCAGGAGGGCGCCCACGAGGCGGCCCATGCTGCCCCGGCGCATTGGGTGATCTCACTCCCGCGCTAGGTGGATGCTTCCCTGATGTTTGCCTCACCTTACCCACTGACATCGACGCGTCGACGCGTCGTCCACGCAGGCTTGGTTTTTTGAGTCGCCGCGCGCGCGCGCCGCCGCAGCATGGCCCTCGTCGTGATCGCCGCGGCGGTCTTCTGCCTGACCTGCTGCCTCTGGATGCTGATGAGCGGCAAGTTCCGGCCGGCCAAGGCGCCGCCGCACGTCTCCGAGGGCCCGCCCATCGTGGGCAACCTCATGGGCTTCGCCCTGGGCCCCCGGGGCCCTTTGGACTTCATCAAGCGCAACTTCGAGGTCCACGGCGGCGCCTACTCCATGCGCGTCGCCCACAAGACGCTGACGTTCCTCGTGGGCCCGAAGGCGTCGGCGCCGTTCTTCCAGAACCGCGACGACGTCTTCAGCCAGCCCGAGGTCTACGGCTTCATGACCCAGGTCTTCGGCAAGGGCGTCGTCTACGACGCGACGCCCGCGAAGCGCAAGGCCCAGAACGTCCACATGAGCCGGGGCCTCCGGGCCGACCGCCTGAAGTCGTACATCCCGAAGATCCTCATGGAGACGAAGAAGTACATGGGCGACCGCTGGGCCGAGGACGGCGCCTGCGACGTGCTCAAGGCTTTGAGCGAGCTCACGATCCTCACGGCGTCGCGCTGCCTCCACGGCGACGACGTCCGCGAGACCCTGTTCGAGGAGGTCGCGGACATCTACCACGATCTGGACAAGGGCATCACGCCCCTGTCCTTCTTCTGGCCGACGGCGCCCGTCGAGGGCCACCGGAAGCGCGACGCGGCCCGCGTGCGCATGGTCGAGCTCTTCCGCGGCGTCATCGACGCGCGGCGCACGCAGACGCGGGAGCAGGCGGACGCGCGGACCGACATCCTCCAGGTCTTCGTCGACATGAAGTACAAGGACGGCACGATGGCGACGACGGACGAGATCACGGGACTCTTGATCGCCCTGCTCTTCGCCGGGCAGCACACGTCGTCGATCACGTCGACGTGGACGACGCTCTTCATCCTCCACGACGCGAAGCTGAAGGCGCGGCTGCTCGAGGAGCAGCGCCAAATCTTCGGCGCGGGCGACATCCGCGACGCGCCCATGTCCTTCGACGACCTGAACAAGATGGAGATCCTCCACAACTGCGTCAAGGAGACGCTGCGCATGCACCCGCCCTTGATCATGCTCATGCGCAAGGCGATGCAGGACGTGCCCATCGAGACGGACGCCGGGCTCAAGTACGTGATCCCCAAGGGCGACATCGTCTTCACGTCGCCCGCGGTCGCCGGCCGCCTCGACATGGTCTTCAAGGACCCGGACGCCTTCGACCCGGACCGCTACGCGCCGCCGCGCGAGGAGCACGCGACGCCCTTCGCGCATCTCGGGTTCGGCGGCGGCATCCACCAGTGCATGGGCCAGCAGTTCGGGTTCATGCAGGTCAAGACCATCATCTCCTGGCTCCTGCGCAACTACGACATGGAGCCCGCGGGGCCCATGCCCAAGGCGGACTACACGGCCATGGTCGTCGGGCCCGTCGGCGAGCCCATGATCAGCTTCAAAAAGATCGCGCCGCCGCCCGCCGCCGCGGCGTGAGGCGGGGAGCCGCGGCACCGAAACCCCCGCGCCTAAGGGACGAGGGCCCAAAGCGCGAGGCGGGATTGGGTTGTGGCCCGACGGAGGCGTCGACGGCCCGGGCCCGGACTTCCGGACGGCCTCAGAGTCGCCGGCGCACGCCTCCGCTTCTTCTGCAGCACATTCGCGCGCGCGGGGCACCGCTGCGCGACGCAGCTGCTAGCAAATGGAGGACGATGATGTGCCTTTGGCGCAGGCGAGAATCGCGTCGCCGCACGGGAGCCAGCCCCACCTCGCGCCGCTCTCCGCCGGCGAGTCGCCGGACGACCTGCCGCCGCTCGTCGACGCGCCCGTCGTCGCGGCGCCGGCTCTGGACGAGGTCGACGACGCGGACGTCGACGACGAGATCGCGCGGCTCCAGGCGCGGCTCCGCGACCTCGAGGCGCGGCGACGGGGCGCCGCGGCGCCCGCGCCGCCGCCGCCGCCGCCGCCGCCGGCCGTCGAGGTCGAGGCGGAGATCGTCGCGAGCGAGGCCGAGATCCCGGCGGGCGACGGCGACGGCGACGACGACGCGGGCGTGGCCGAGGCGAAGGTCGAGGTCGCCGAGGAGGCGGAGGTCCTCGTGCCGACGCCGAGCCCCGACGCGTCCGCGGTGCCCGTCGCGCTTCCGGTCGCGTGCTGCGTCGACGACAGCAACGTCGCCGACGAGGTCGCCGCGCCGCCGCCCGAGCCGACGCCGCTCTGGGTCGCGAGCCCCGCGGACGAGCGCGGCTACGTCGAGACTCGGGAGGAGGCGCCCGCGCGCGACGACGATGAATCCGTCGAACGCCAGTTCCGGTTGGACCTGCGACGCGCCGTCGAGGAGTCGTTGCGGCCGTCGTCCTTCGCGACGCGCGCCGGCGACGACGACGAGGAGAAGAAGGACGAGGGGGAGCTGGAGGACGTCGACGCGTCGCAAGCCGGCTCGCGGCGCCGGCGCCGCTGGTCCTACAAGGCCGGCGACGGCGGGAGCCTCGCGCACGCGCTCGACGTCGAGGAGTCCTTCCCGACGATCCACGGCACGAAGTACTACGTCGCGCAGACGAAGGTGCTGTCCGACGAGCGCGTGACCATATCCCGCGTCGGCCGCTGGTTCCGCGACGTCCGCGAGCTCGCGTCCGAGCCCGCGGACGACGGCGACGCGGGCGCCGGCGGCCTGGGCCGCGCGACGGCGGACTACCCGCCGGAGCCGGGCGTCGCGCGCGCGGCGGCGGCGGCCTCGGCGGAGCCCGCGAGCCCGCGCGACGCGTCGACGTCCCCCGCGCTCGCGGCGGACCTGCCGCTCCTCGCCGTGCGGGACCTCATCCGGAGCAACGCCATCTGCGGCGGCGAGTGGCGCGAGGGCCCCGCGCACGACGCGGACATCGACATCGGCGTCGGCGACCTCGTCCGCTTCCGGCTCCGCGGCGCGGCGACCGTCGACGAGTACGGCGTCGTGCTCTGGGTGTCCAAGGCGTCGACGGACGCGGGCTCGCGCAACGCCGGCGCCCACGTCCAGGTCTGCACGCACGCGTGCGGCATGCTCGTGCCCCGCCACGAGATCGCGTTCGGCGTGTCGCGCCTCTACGGCGACGTCATCGACGTGCTCCTCAAGGACTTCTCCATGGAGATCCAGCTCCGCCCGAACAAGTTCCTCTTCATCTTCGAGCCCGACGCCGTCGTCTTCCCGACGCTCGCGTACTCGACGGGCGTCGACGTCCACGACGGCGCCGCGCCGGGCGGCGCCGCGGACGGGCCCGGCGAGGGGGCCTAGGACGCTGGTCGTAACGGCACGCGGCGTCTCGTCGATGGCGTCAGCAGGCTCCCATCTTCTCGGCCTTCTCCTGTATCCATGTAAAAGTAGGCGTAAAAGTTCAATTTGACTTCCACATCATTCTATGTGGGGGATATGTGGGGGACGGGGCAGCAGCGGCAATGCCATTGTGCATTCTCGCGTAGCGGTGGGCAACGCACAGGCACCGCATTCCGTTTTTTTTCCTTGTTAGGCCAGGTGTGGATCGATGCTCGCGCGTCTCGTCGCGTCCGCGGTCGCGCTGGGCGCGGCGGCGGCGACGTCCGATTGCTCCTCCTGCGTCGAGCGCGGCGATAGCGTCGTCAAGGTGATCACCCACGGCGTGTGGTCGAACACGTTCTGGACCCTGTTTCGCGCGGCGGCGGTGCAGGCGGCGGCGGACCCGGGCGTGGCCCTGGACATGGAGCTCCGCGAGACCTGGGACTCGGATGTCATGGCGGCGGAGATCGACGGCCTCGCGCGGACGTGCCTCGGGAAGTGCGTCGCCGTCGTCACGCTCCCCGACGCGGCCGCGCGCGCGGCCGTCGCGCGGGCGACGGCCGCGGGCGTCGTCGTCTACGGCGTCAACAGCGGCTACCCCGGCGCGGGCCTCGGCCTCAGCGGCTTCGTCGGCGCGAACGAGACCGAGGCGGGCCTCGCGGCCGCGGCCGCGGCCTACGACGCGATGGGAAACGCGCCGGCGGCCGCGCGCGTCGCCTTCGTGGACCACGAGAACGGCACGAACGCGGGCCTGCTCGAGCGCTTCGCGGGCCTCGCGCGGGGCGTCGCCGCGCGCGGCGGCGCGGCGACCTACGCGGCCTACGACGGCGCGCGCGGCGCGGCGCGCGCGACGACGGCGCTCGTCGACGTCGTCGCCGACGCGGCCGGCACCTGCGCCTTCGATTTCGTGGTCGGGGGCGGCGTCGACGCGGCGGCGCCGATCGTCGCGGCCCTCGCGTACCGCGGCTGCTCCGCGGCGACGGCCGTGGGCCACTTCGACGCGACGGAGGCCGCGTTCGACGACGTCGAGGGCGGCGTCGTCGCGTTCGCCGTGTCGCAGCAGGCCTGGGCCCAGGCCTACTTCGCGACCTACCTCGCGGCGATCCACGCGTTCGCGGGCCTCCCCGTCGGCGGCGGCGGCGACCGGTCGCTCTTCCCGACGGGCCCGCTCGTCGCCGACGCCGCCGCGCTGCCGACCGGCCGCGCGCGCGAGTGCCTCGACGACTCCTACGCGACCTGCGCCGAGGACCGCGGCGGCACCGTCATGGACGGCTGCGCGCGCGTGAACCGGTCGCGCGTCGTCGTCGCGGGCGTCGTGCCCGGCGCGGCGACGGACGGCTGGTGGGACCTCGTCGCGGACGCGGCCGCGGACGCCGCGTCGGCGTCGGACCTCGGCGTGTCCCTCGCGCGCGGGGGCGTCACACGCACGGAGGCGGGCGACTTCGAGAACGCGTCCCGGGCCACGTTCGAGCTCTGCGGCGGCCCCGACCCCGTCGACGGCTTGTTCGTCAAGCTCTCGTCGGAGCTCCTCTACAACGCGACGCGTTTTTGTGTCGAGCGGGGCGTCGCCGTCGCGTCCTTCAACAGCGGCTTCGAGTCGGGCGCGTTCCCCGTACCCGGCCTCCTCCACCACGTGGGGCTCCCCGAGCGGGAGACGGCCCGGGACGCCGCGGCCCACGTCCTCGCCGCCGGCGGCGCGGCGCGGCTCTACTGCGTCGTCGAGGCGGCGGACCGGGACACGCCGAACATGGTCGCGCGCTGCGCGGGCGTCGCCGACGCCGCCGGTGCCGCGGTCGCGGGCTTCCGGTTTCGGTAAGGCGTTGAAAGTCCCGGTTACGGTTGCGGTTCCGGTTCCGGTTTTCCACGGTTACGCCCCCAAATCCCCGGTGACGGTGACGGTGGTCTCACGGCGGCCTCGACCGAACCGGAACCGAGCTCAGGCTAACCGAAGTGCTCCCTGGGCGCCGACTTAGGCGCCGAAGGCGCCTAGGATCAGTAATTTTACTCGACGCGAAGACGTCACTCACTTCAGCTTAGGCCGCCGGGAAAGGAACCCCGCCTACTTAAAACCGACGAACAAGGGAGGGCATCGACAGCTGAGACTTCAGCTTGAGTTCAAGTTACTGTGTCAACTGACGTGCTGCGTCGCGGCGTCGAGCGATGCTCGACGCCATGTAAGTGCGCGGCGTCGCGGATGCGCCGGCCGTTGCCCTGGGCGCGCGCCGTGGCGTTCCGCAGTGCCGCACGGCGCGCGCCGCCGCCGCTGCCAGCGCTCTTCCCTAAACCCAGGTGCGCCGCCGGCGTCCCATCGCACACACCAGCATTAAAGGCGGGTCTGAGCCCACCCATGGCACTTATTCGTTTCATAAAGACTGGGAGAGCATCGTACACATCCCCACCCGACATGCATCGCTCGGCGACGGGAAGGGAGTGATGACCAGAGGCGTATCAGTCCCGTCTGCGCTTTCTCTAGCACCGCTCGCACACCCGCAGGTCCTCGCGCGCGCCGGCGATAGCGGCGTCCCCGGGCTCGCGCGAGAACGACAGTCGTCGGCGAGGACACGCTCCTCGCCGTCCCGCGGCCGCCTCTCGAGAGGAGGCCTCGACGCGCGCGGCAATTAACACACTTTCTTTCGCGAAATCCCCCGCGCGCCACGCCCACGACGACGACGATGTGTTAATGCTGGAGAGCTCACCAGCCCATGTCCGCCGCCGTCTTGCCGAAGGCGGCCTCCATGCGCCTGCCCGCGTCGACGACGGTCTCCACGGGCACGTTGTAGGGCGGCGTGCACATGACGCCGCCCGCGGGGACGAAGTAGGGCCAGACGCCCTCGGCCTTGCAGTGCGCCTTGAGCACGCCCGCGGCCTCGACGCGCGCCGCGGGCTCCACGGACGGCACGAAGCAGGCGCCGCGCATCAAACCGAGGCCGTGCGCGACGACCTTGCCGTTGCACGCCGCCGCGGCCCTCTTCAGGCCCGCGTCGAGCGCGTCCGCGGCTTCGGTGATGTGCGCCCGCCACCGGGGGATCTCCCGGAGCACGGCCGTCGCCGCGAGCAGGGCCCGGGGGCTCGACGCCGCGTAGGTGTGGGACTGGCCGAGCGTCTTGCCGCTCGCGCGGAGCTCGGAAGCGCCGCGCGCGAGCACCGCGCCCGCCATGGGGAAGACGCCCGACGCGATGGCCTTCCCAAAGGTCACGCAGTCCACCTCGATGCCCCAGGCGTCGACGAGGAAGAGCGTGCCCTGGCCGTGGCGGCCGAGGCCGCACATGATCTCGTCGGCCAGGACGAGCGCGCCGTGCGACCGCGCGAGGGACACGAACTCCGCGAGCAGCTCCTTGGGCCAGGGCGCCGCGGCGCAGGACGAGCCCCACTGCGGCTCCACGACCACGCACCCGAGCTCGCCGCCGTGCTCGGCGAAGAAGTCGGCCCAGGCGGCCCGGAGCGACGCGGCGTCGCCGTCGCGGAAGATGTGCGGCGCCGGGTAGACGAGCTGGTCGGGCTTCGTCGCGCGGCCCACGGCCGTCATGGCGCCCGCGGGCACGCCGAGACTCGACGACGGCGGGCCGTGGTACGACCGGTCCGCGACGGCGACCTTGACGCGGGCCGCGCGGCCGCGCGCCTGCTGGAGGTGCAGCAGCAGCTCGACGGCCGCGAGCACGGCCGACGCGCCCTCGACCTGCAGGCTCACGCACCAGTCGTCCCCGAAGGACTCGGGCAGGTGCTTCGCGAGCTCCTCGTTGAAGCCGTCGTACTGCGGCGGCAGCGCGGCCGACGTGTGCTGCACCAGGGGGCTCGCGAAGCCGTCCGCCGCGAGCGCGTCGAGCGCCGCCTTCTCGTACTCGTGGCCCTCGATGAGCACGCCGCGCAGCGCCTCGCCCTGGAAGACCTCGCTGCAGGCGCGGCCGATGGACAGCATCGACGTCTCGGTTCCCTTGGAAGGGCTCCAGACCTCCTCGATGCCCCGCTTGCGGAGGATGATGGGCGGCACGCTCAGCACCGGGCCGTGGTCCGCGCGGCTCGCGATGCGAGAGGGCGTGGAGAGGCGGCGGCACGCGAGGCGGGCGGCCATCGTGGATCGGCACTTCTTCTGGCGCCGCAAAAGCATCTTTCCGGCATCTCGCTTGAGGCAAGAGCCGGTCGAGCCCCTCCGCGTGTCGGCGCTTGGCAGCGTCCTCGTCGCTTTGCCGGTGCTGCCGCAGCGCATACGCATCGCAGCCGTCGCCTGGGACCTGCTGCGCATCGCTGCCGCGTCGCTCCGATCGGCTTTGCATCGCTGCGATCGATCGCTGGACGCGTGGCGTTTGCAAGCGCTCGAGATCGGCAGTATGCCGCTCGGCCGCGTCGCTTTGGCGGCGCTCGCGCTGCTCGTCGTCGCCGTCGCCAAGGAGCACGACTACTACAAGCTGCTCAAGGTCAAGAAGGGCTGCAGCGACAAGGAGCTCAAGAAAGCCTATCGCGAAGCGGCGAAGAAGTACCACCCGGACAAGAACGTCGGCGACGAGCAGGCCGCCAAGAAGTTCGCGCTGGTGGCCAAGGCCTACGAGGTGCTCAGCGACCCGGAGCAGAAGCGCATCTACGACCTCGGCGGCGAGGAGGCGCTGAAGCGCGGCGGCGGCAACGGCGGCGGCGGCGGCGGCGGGTTCCAGCAGCAGTCGGGCGGCTCGCCCTTCGGCGGCGGCTTCGGCGGCGGCGGCGGCTCGCCCTTCGGCGGCGGCGGGAATCCCTTCGCGTCCATGTTCGGCGGCGGCGGCATGCCGGGCTTCGGCGGCGGCGGCGGCGGCGGGTTCCCCGGCGGCGGCGGCGGCCAGCCGAGGCCACCGAAGAAGCCGGCCGGCCCGACGCCCGCGCAGAAGCGCGAGGAGGAGCGGAAGAAGAAGGCGAAGGAGGACAAGGCGAAACAGCAGTGGGCCGCGGACGAGGCGAAGCGGAAGAGCAAGCGCCTGGAGCAGAAGCGCCAGGCCGACGCGCGCGCGAGGAAGCAGGAGGAGGCGGACGCGAGGTTCGCGAAGCGCCAGGCCGAGAAGGCCGCCGCGGAACTCTAACACCTAGCCCGTCGCGCCACCGGCGGCCGCGCGCTAGAGTCGCCGGGGGCCGTTTACGCCGCGCGCTCACGCGACCTCCGCGGGCGTCTTCGTCGTGAGCTTGTCGATGGCGTGGATGGCGCCCGAGTCCATCTCGTCCTTGATGGAGCGCATGACGAGCTGCTGCCGCTTCACGCGCGAGAGGCCCTCGAACGCCTCGGACACGACGACGATGGCGATGTGCGAGCCGTTGGGGTCGTCCTCGTTGTTCGTGACCTCGAGGGACGTCGGCGCGATGGCGGCCGTGATCTTCTCCACGCAGCGCGCGACGCTGCCCTCGGCGCGCAGCGGCGCGCTCAGGCGCGCGGCGCGCGGCCGCGCCGCCGCCGGCGCGAAGCCCTGGGCGACGGCGGCGAGCGAGACGACGAGCGCAGCGAGGCGCATGGCTTCTTTACTGATCGCTGCGGCGCGCGCAGCGAGCCCTGCGAGTCGCGGCAGCGGTGCCGAACGCGAGGCTGGACCGGCGACGCGGGCGCGCGTCGTGGCAGCTCAACGCTCGTTGACGAGCTGTGCGGGGTAAGCTGCACTTTTCAAGAATTTGTTGGCGTGGGAGCAGCCCCGACCTGCCATCCATCTCTGCCATCCTCCCCACCTTGCCAGCCGAAGGGCAGCGCGCAGCCGTAAAAACTCGCGCCGTAGATCTACCATGGGCAAGGGCGGCAAGGGCCAGGCGGCACACACCTTGGCGTTCAAGGCCACTGGCAGCGCGACGGGCTCGTCCTGGCTCAATCCGCGCAGCGGCCATCCAGTTCGCCGTGCCCCAGGGCGTCCACCCGGGCGAGGTTATCCAGATCTCCGTCTGACGTATAACAGCGGGCGATGTCCGGGCGCCGTCGGGCGCCATGGTCCCACGGGAGGGCGTCCAGCCAAGTGTCCAGCCGACGCGCTGGTTCAACAATGGTTCAACGAACTTGGATGAAGCACTGAGTCAGTTGTACTGAGTCGATGAAGCAGCCGATGGCAGCGCGCGCGCAGCCCTATCGCGCCACGAGTTGACCATGGGCAAGGGCGGCAAGGGCCAGCCGGCGCACTCGCGGGCCTTCTCGGCCCACGCGACGGGTGCGTCCTGGTTCAGTCCGCGCAGCGGCCTGCTGGACCTCGCCGGCTTCCAGTCGGCCATCAACAGCCACTGGCTTTCGAACAGGGGTCAGAATGGCTTGGACTGCCCCGGCATGCGGGAGGCGCTCTTGGAGATCAACAAGGGCGGCAACTTCGGCGGGAGTGGGGAGGCCCCCTTCATCGGCGACGTGGGCATGGGCATGCTCGACGGGCGCGGCGTGTCACCGGAGCAGGCCGCGGCGATCTTCCGCGTCTACGACACGGCTCAAAGCGGCCAGCTCACCTACGAGCAGTTCGCGAACGTCTTCCGCCTCATGAGCGCGCCGGAGCGGACCGACGAGCTGCGGCTCCTCGAGCGCAAGGTGTTCCTCGAGAAAATGGTGCCGAACCTCGGCGCGACGCTCGGCACGGGCGCGAGCGTCGCGCCCCACGGCGCGAACCCGCTCGCGCCCAAGTTCGCCGCGGAGCCCACGCATTTCGCGCTCGAGAACCCGGGCTTCAACGCCGTCTGCTGCGCCACCTGCGTGTCGGAGGTGCCCCTCTTCTGCTTCGGCTTGCCGCCGCCGATGGTCTGCTTCTGGCCCCACGGCATCATCTTCTTCGGCTCGCCCTGCGCCATGGCCGCGAAGCTGTGCTGGGCGCCCCGCGCCAACGCCGCGACGACCGTGCGGCTCACGCCCAACGCCGTGGTTTCTGTGACGGAGCCCTACGCCGGGTGGTCCGCGTGCATGGGCCCGCCGATCGTCGCGCCCTGCAACTGCTGCCTCGTCTGCATGGGCGGCGACCCCATGTGCACGGCCTACAAGAACGACCGCCAGGTCGTCGACGTCGTGCCCCTCGAGTTCGTCGACGCCGTGGACGTGCTGCGGCCCGTCTACCCGGGCGGCCTCGAGCGCCTCGTCGTCTCGGCCTACGGCGGGTCGCATATGATCGCCAAGGACGGCGCGACGAACGCCAAGGCCTTCGCGGACGCCGTCATGCAGCAGAAGGCGAGCGCCGCGCGGCTCGACTTCAACGAGCGCGCGGCGCTGCAGAACTTCCTCGCGTCGTCCTGGTTCCGCCTCGACCTCCTCCGCCACGGCCGGTCCGCGGACCTCGGCGAGGGGCGCGTCGTCGGCGACGTCGGCGCGCCCATGCAGCAGATGATGATGGCCCGCGGCGGGCCCACGGCGCCGGGCTTCCAGCCCGTCGCGGCCGTCACGGCCGTCCATCCCGCGCCCGCGATGATCTCCGTCGCCGTGCCGGAGGGCGCGGTCGCGGGCACGGTCATCCAGGTCCAGGCGCCGTCGGGCGCCATCCAGGTCGCCGTGCCCGAGGGCGTCAAGCCGGGCCAGGTCATCCAGGTCGCCGTCTGAATCTTGTCCTTCGGATTAACTACTTTACGGGTCCCAGGACGCCTCGCCCGTCGCGAAGTTGACGTAGAAGTAGTCGCCGGTTTCCGCGTCGCACTGCGGCTCCCACGTCGAGCCGTCGGCCGCGCCGATCGGCGCGGGCACGTTGCTCGCGTATTGATCGCGCTGGGGCGCGGCGGTCGCCGGAGGTTCCCAGGACGTTTCGCCGGTCACGGAGTTGACGTAGAAGTAGTCGCCGGTCTCGTCGTCGTATTGCGGCTCCCAGAGGCCGTCAGGCCCGCCGATCGGCGCGGGCGCGCTGCTCGCGTACTGATCGCGCTGAGGCGAGGCGGCCGCCGGAGGCTCCCAGGACGTTTCGCCCGTCGCGGAGTTGACGTAGAAGTAGTCTCCGGTCTCCTCGTCGTATTGCGGCTCCCAGAGGCCGCCGGGCGCGCCGATCGGCGCGGGCGCGTTGCTCGCGTATCGGTCGCGCTGGGGCTCGGCTCGCCCCCTCGCGACGCCGCCGTCGTCGTAGAAGGCGGCGCACCTCGGGAATTTTCCGCCGTCGTCGTAGAAGGCGGCGGCGAGCTCGGGCGTCAGCTCGAGCAGCGGGATCGGCGGCGGCGGGTCGTTCGTGACCGGCCGCTTGAGCATCGCCTCGAAGAGCGCGCAGGCCCCGCCGTCCGCTCCCGAGAACTCGCGCACGGGCCCGCCGTGCAGCTTCACGGCGCCTCCCTTGTTGCTGCGTTCGCCGGCCCTGACCCGGCGCTCCTGCACGCGGCCGCGGATCTTGCCCTCCCGCTTGTCGATCGCGTGCTCCCAGACGCCGATCAGCGGCTTCAGCAGCTGGATCGTCCCCTCCGGTTGCTGCGTGGTGGAGGCCGGCCCCGGCGTCGACGCGCTCGCGGGGAACAGGTAGACGAGGAGGTCCCAGTGGCGCCCGCCGCAGATGCGCGCGAGCCGCGCGCCGCCCTGCAAACCGAGTGGCGTCTCGGCGTCGCGGCCCGCCGCCGCGTACAGCGCCTCGAAGAGCCCGTCGCCCGGCGCGTGGTCGAAGCGCAGCCCGCGCACGCTCGCGCGGAACTCCTCGCGCAGGTACTCGGGCACCCACGAGCTGCCGACTTCCGTACCGCGTAGGTTAGGGTTCGTGACCGCCGCGTTCGCCGCCCGCGCCACGCGCCCGAGCACGGGGTGGTCCATGGCCGCCGCGGGGAGGATGTCCGCTCCGTCGCCGGTCTCCATCAATCCTCGTGGTGTCATAATTTGTCCCTGGTGACTCTGCAGCGGCGCGGCCCGCGTGCGGCTGTGCCGGACGAGTGCGCCACCATGCGGGGTCAAGCTTAGGGCGAGGCCGAGTGCTTGGAGCAGGGCGACCAGCGGGAGGCTCATGGCGGGATGTGAAGCGCCGCGCCGCGTGCGCGTCATCGACCGCTCCTCCTACACCACGGTCATCAACATCAAGGCACGGTCAAGCAGTGCTCCAAGCTTGGCTTCGGCGCGCTGGTCCAGGTCGCCGCATGCCCGAGGGTGTCAAGCCGGGCGAGGTCATCCAGGTCTCCGTCTGAATCTTGTCCTTCGGATTAACTATGTTGCGGTTCCCAGGACGCCTCGCCCGTCGCGGAGTTGACGTAGAAGTAGTCGCCGGTTTCCTCGTCGTACTGCGGCTCCCACGTCGAGCCGTCGGCCGCGCCGATCGGCGCGGGCGAGCTGCTCGCGTATTGATCGCGCTGGGGCGGCCCGGCGGCCGCCGGAGGTTCCCAGGACGCCTCGCCCGTGGCGGAGTTGACGTAGAAGTAGTCGCCGGTCTCGTCGTCGTATTGCGGCTCCCAGAGGCCGCCGGGCGCGCCGATCGGCGCGGGCGCGTTGCTCGCGTATTGATCGCGCGGGGCCCCGGCGGCCGCCGGAGGCTCCCAGGAGGTTTCGCCGCTTCGGGAGTTGACGTAGAAGTAGTCGCCGGTCTCCTCATCGTATTGCGGCTCCCAGAGGCCGCCGGGCGCGCCGATCGGATCGGGCGCCGTGCCCGCGAATTGGTCGCGCTGGAGCTCGGCTCCCGCCGCGCCGCCGTCGTCGTAGAAGGCGCTGGCGAGCTCGGGCGTCAGCTCGAGCAGCGGGATCGACGGCGGCGGGTCGTTCGTGAACGGCCGCTTGAGCATCGCCTCGAAGAGCGCGCAGGCCCCGCCGTTTGCTCCCGAGAACTCGCGCACGGGCCCGCCGTGCAGCTTCACGGCGAATCCTAAGTTGCCGCGTTTGCCGGCCCTGACCTGGCGCACCTGCACGCGGCCGCGCACCTTGCCCTCCCGCTTGTCGATGGCGTGCTCCCATACGCCGATCAGCGGCTTCAGCAGCTGGATCGTGCCCTCCGATTGCTGCGCGATGGCGGCCGGCCACGGGTTCGACGCGCCCGCGGGGAACAGGTAGACGAGGAGGTCCCAGTGGCGCCCGCCGCAGATGCGCGCGAGCCGCGCGCCGCCCTGCAAACCGAGTGGCGTCTCGGCGTCGCGGCCCGCCGCCGCGTACAGCGCCTCGAAGCGCCCGTCGCCCGGCGCGTGGTCAAAGCGCAGCCCGCGCACGCTCGCCCGGAACTCCTCGCGCAGGTACTCGGGCACCCACCTGCTGCCGACTTCCGTACCGCGTAGGTTAGGGTTCGTGACCGCCGCGTTCGCCGCCCGCACCACGCGCGCGAGCACGGGGTTGTCCATGGCCGCCGCGGGTAGGATGTCCGCGTCGTCGCCGGTCTCCATCGACGTGGTGTCGTACAGCTGTCGTTGACTCTGCAGCGGCGCGGCCCGCGTGCGGCTGTGCCGGACGAGTGCGCCACCATGCGGGGTCAAGCTTAGGGCGAGGCCCAGTGCTGGGAGCAGGGCGACCAGCGGGAGGCCCATCGCGGGATATGAAGCGCCGCCGCGCCGCCTATATAGTCGCATTGCGCACTGCCACTGCGCAATAGATTGCAATCTCTGCCGCAGCGCACCATCAAAGCAGGCCTTCAACGTGAAGGCTCTGTCGGTGCAAGTGTCGGTGCCAGTCGGTGCGTCCAAGTTGCCTGAGCGCGCCTAGCCGGGCCAGGTCATCCAGGTCTTCGTCTGAAGTATAAGACTGAACGGTGTCCAGGCGCATAATTATATTCGGCTTTTTATACCAGCGCGTCTGCCCAGGACGCCTCGCCCGTCGCGGAGTTGACATAGAAGTAGTCGCCGGTTTCCTCGTCGTACTGCGGCTCCCACGTCGAGCCGTCGGCCGCGCCGATCGGCGCGGGCGCGTTGCTCGCGTATTGGTCGCGCTGCTGGGGCGCGGCGGTCGCCGGAGGTTCCCACGACGCCTCGCCCGTGGCGGAGTTGACGTAGAAGTAGTCGCCGGTCTCGTCGTCGTATTGCGGCTCCCAGAGGCCGTCGGCCCCGCCGATCGGCGCGGGCGCGGTGCTCGCGTATTGATCGCGCGGGGCCCCGGCGGCCGCCGGAGGCTCCCAGGACGTCTCGCCGCTTCGGGAGTTGACGTAGTAGTACTCGTTGTGCTCCGGGTGGTATTGCGGGTCCCACGTCGACCCGTCGGGCGCGCCGATCGGATCGGGCGCCGTGCCCGCGTACTGGTCGCGCCCGGGCTCGGCGCCCGCCGCGCCGCCGTCGTCGTAGAAGGCGGCGGCGAGCTCGGGCGTCAGCTCGAGCAGCGGGATCGACGGCGGCGGGTTGTTGTTGTTCGGCCGCTTGAGTAGCGCCTCGAAGAGCGCGCAGGCCCCGCCGTTCGCTCCCGAGAACTCGCGCACGGGCCCGCCGTGCAGCTTCACCGCGCCGCCGAGGTCGCCGCCCGCGCCGGCGCTGATCTGGCGCACCTGCACGCGGCCGCGCACCTTGCCGGCCCGCTTGTCGATGGCCCGCTCCCAGTCGCCGATCAGCGGCTTCAGCAGCTGGATCGTGCCCTCCGGTTGCAGCGCTTGTGCGGCCGGCCCAACCGTGTGCGCGCTCGCGGGGAACAGGTAGACGAGGAGGTCCCAGTGGCGCCCGCCGCAGATGCGCGCGAGCCGCGCGCCGCCCTGTAAGCCGAACGTCTTCTCGGCGTCGCGGCCCGCCGCATCGTAGAGCGCCTCGAAGCGGCCGTCGCCCGGCGCGTGGTCGAAGCGCAGCCCGCGCACGCTCGCGCGGAACTCCTCGCGCAGGTACTCGGGCACCCACGTGCTGCCGACGCCCGACCCGTCGAGGTGAGGGTTCGTCACCGCGGCGATCGCCGCCCGCGCCACGCGCCCGAGCACGGGGTTGTCCATGGCCGCCGCGGGGAGGACGTCCGCGCCGTCGCCGGTCCCCATCGACGTGGTGTCGTACAGCTGTCGTTGACTCTGCAGCGGCGCGGCCCGCGTGCGGCTGTGCCGGACGAGTGCGCCACCATGCGGGGTCAAGCTTAGGGCGAGGCCGAGTGCTTGGAGCAGGGTGACCAGCGGGAGGCCCATCGTCGCGCGTAGCCGATCCTCGAGGAGCTGAGCATCGACGGCGTCAGGCTGCGACTTCATCTTTCCCTGCACGAGCACCTCGATATCGCAAAGGTGGGCGTTGGCTGAGACGCCCCCGGCGTGTCGCGATGGTGACCTGCCGGCAGATCCAGGAGCTGACGAAGGCGCGGCTCGAGGGCAGTGTGCCGAGCTACCCCGAGCAGTGGATCGAGGGCCCCATGGCGCGGCGCGACCGCGCGATGATGCGGCGGGGCATGCTGCGCCGGAGGCTGCCCAAGGTCAAGGGCGCGGCGAAGAAGGCGGCGCGGTCGCCGTCGCCGCCCGGGTCCGCCGGCAACGGGCGGCCGCCGTCGCCGAACCGGGGCCACGTGCCCATGCGGGGCCCGAAGACCCAGGTGCTCGGGTCCGGCAAGGCCGGCGGCGAGGGCGACGAGCCGACGAGCCTCGCGCTCCCGCTCAAGCCGCTGCGCTGGCCGCGCGTGCGCGACGAGCAGCTCCAGACCGTGTGCTCCATCAAGTGCATGCTCAAGGAGCTCCACGCCTACCTCCAGGCGAACTCGTCCACGCTCGTCGAGGCCTTGCCGCGGCGGTCGGTGAACGGCGAGGGCTTCGTGTCCATCGTCACGCTCCACCGCTGGCTCTGCTCCCTGAAGCGCGAGCCGGGCAACGGGCCCACGGGCGTCGAGGGCCTGCGGCTGTCGCTGACGCCGGACGCGGAGACGATCCGGAGTAGGGCTCTGGCGGTGCGGTCCCAGTACGCGCGGGGCAAGCCCATCCCGCCCGCGGTCATCCGGTCCATGGTGAACTTCCTCGACCGCGAGGACCGGGGCGTGATCCTGATGGCCGACTTCATGGAGTGCTTCCGGGTGGCGAAGCGGCTCGCGCTGGACCTGGACCGCATCACGCCGTCGAAGAAGGACCTCGTCGTGCTCAAGAGCCAGCAGGAGGAGGAGAAGGCGCGGGCGCTGGAGCAGCAGGAGCAGACCATCGACGAGGAGGAGGAGGTCGAGGAGGTCGACAAGGAGCTGAGCTGGTACGACGAGGACGTCGAGCTCACGCAGCGGCGCAAGGTCAAGGAGGCCGCGACGGAGGGCGACGAGGACGCGCAGCCGTCGCTGGCGTCGTCCTACGGCGCCGTCAACGAGGCCGACGTCCACGAGCTCGTCGACGTGCTCTTCAGCGAGTACGACGAGCTCCTGCTCCAGGAGCTCGAGGCGTCGAGCCGCGTGCTGAAGCGGCTGTGGGCCGTCGCGCGCGAGGGCCACCGCTACGGCTACCGGAGCCGCGCGGAGGGCGAGGAGAAGGAGCGCGCCCTCGCCGCGTCCTACAAGCCCATCTCGGAGCGCGACTCCGTGTCGACGTTCCGCGGCGAGGCGGGCATGGGCAGCCAGCGCGAGACGGGCGCGGACGACCCCGTGGGTTTACTGGAAGGCGCCGAGCCGCCGCTCCACGTCGCGCGCGTCTTCGTCGCGCTCGACGACTACCTGGCGACGAAGGAGGGCATGCGCTTCATGGAGTTCGTGAAGATGAAGTCCGCGCCGCAGGCGTCCGTCTTCGCCGTCGGCACGGGCATCGCGGAGGCCTACGCGTCGGTCCACGACGTGCGCGCCGTGCTCGCGGCGCTCTTCGAGGGGGCGAGCCGCGTCGAGGACGCGAAGAAAGCGCGCGAGGCCGCGCGCGCGGCGAAGACGGCGCTGCTGGCGCTGGAGATGGACGCGGCCGCGCCGTCGGGCGCGTCGTCCATCGAGCAGCAGATGAAGCGCGCGGGCATCGACAGCGTCTTCCGGCGCGTCGAGTTCCTCACGGCGCGGCGCGGTTTAAGGTTGCGCGACGTCTGCGAGCTCATGGACACGGCGAACTCGGGGACGGTGGGCGTCGCGAAGATCGTCGCGTTCATGCAGGCCATCTCCCTGCGCACGCCGCCGCCGTCCTACGAGGCCGCGCGCGTGAAGAACGCGGACAAGGCCGCCGTGGCCGCGGCGGCGAACGCCGCGCGGGCCAAGGAGGAATTGGACTTCACGATCCGCATGCGCGCGGCGGAAGAGTCGGGCTGCTTCGCGTCCTTCGCGCTCCTGGACCGCTACTTCTGCCGCTTCCAGCTCAAGGCCGAGGACATCTGGTACCACGGGCGGGCGAAGAAGGAGGGCTTCCGCCGCGCCGCGGAGTGCAAGACGGACGACTCGGACGCGCTCGCGGCGGGCGAGTTCCACAAGCTGCTCCTCCAGGCCAAGGTGTCGCTGACCTTCGAGCAGGTGAAGAAGCTCGTGGCCTACCTCGACACGGACGGGTCGGGGAAGATCGAGCACGACGAGCTCCAGGCGGCGATCTTGGACTACCGCCGGTTCAAGCGCGCGAAGCAGCGGCTCGAGCTCAAGCGCGCGTCCGCGGAGCGGCGCCTCTTCCTCGACCGCCAGGTCCTGCTCCTGCTCCAGTACCTCGTGCTCGTCGGCGAGGGCAACAAGCTCAAGGACCAGCAGTACCAGGCCTACGCGACGGCCGCGCTCGGCAACGCGAACGCGAACGAGGCCAAGGACGAGGCCCTCCGCGAGACCATGGCCCAGGTCGGGCCCAACGGGCCCCACGACCAGTTCATCAACGTCGTCGACATGCAGCGCGCCATCGAGAAGTCCTCGAACCTCGCCATCGCCCAGTACTTCCGCGAGGTCCGCGAGCGCCTCCACTCCGACGCGTACCAGCAGCTCCGCGAGATCAATAACTGATCGCATCTTACGACCCCGGGTCGATGCTCGCTTGCAGGCTGAGCGCCTGTTGCAGCAGGCCGGTCAGCTCCGCGAGCTCCGGGCCGAGCCGCTCGGCCCGGTCCTCGACAACCTCGGCGCCGAGCGCCGCCTCGCGCGCGGCCTCGAGCTCCACGACCCGCGCCGCGTCCGAAAGCGACTGCTTCAGCTGGGCGAGCAGCGACGGGTTGCCCGCGCCGTCGCCGAGCGCCGCCCGGACCTCCGCCATCGACGACGCGAGCGCCGTCGACAGGCTCGCGCGACGCGCGGACGGCGCGTCCGGCGCGTCCTCCCTTTCGAGGATGATCCCGTCGCCGAAGAGGAAGGAACCGAGGTGATTCGCGAGGTACTTGTCGCCGACGACCCGGCGCTGCGGCTCGGAGGACCGGCCGATGCATCGAAGCCGCGCGCGGAGCTGCCAGTAGTTCACGAAGTAGGAGTTGAAGAGCGCCTTCAGGTCCGGCGAGCACTCGGCGTCTTGGATGACGTAAAACGTCGTATTGACGTCGTCCTTGTCGTAATCGAAGAGCCCGCGCGCGAGGAGCACGCGCGCCACGTCGACGTGCTGGTTGACGCACGCCGAGAAGAGCGGATTCACGCCGAGGTTCTTCCCCGTCGTGAAGATCTTCTTCCGCCAGTCCGCGCCGCCGTCGAGCAAGACTTTCACGACGCCGACGCGGCCGCGGATGCAGGCGCACCCCAGCGGCGTCATGCCCTCGCTCCCGGCCTTGTTCACGTCCGCGCCGTATTCCAAAAGGAGCTCCACGACGTCGACGCGGCCCTCGGTGCTCGCGGTCATGAGCGGCGTCGAGTCCGAGTGGTCGGGATCGACGGAGTCGCCGATCTCGCGGAAGCCCACGCCCCGTTCGACGTCGGCGCCCGCGACGAGCAAAAGCAGCGCGGACTCGAAGTGGCCGAAGTGCGCGGCGGCGTAGAGCGGCGTGCGCACGTGGAGCGCGTCGCTCCCCCGGCCGTCGACGGCCGCGCCGCGGTCCAGGGCGAGCTTCACGACCTGGCTGTCGCCGTATTGGGACGCGTAGCGGAGGAGCGTGTACCCTCGTTCATCGACGGCGTCGACGTCGGCGCCTTGATCGAGGCATCGTCGCAGGCCGTTCATCTCGTCCATGATCGCCTCGACTTCATCGTCGGGCCGGTCGTAGTCGAGGACGTCCCACCAGTCGAGCCGCGAGATCTCGTTGAGCCGCGCCCGGCGCTCGGTGCCGTCGGGACTCCCGTCGACGGTCATGACGCTTGACGACGTTGCTCCAAGGGTTGAAACTGTTTACCACTCGCCGAAGCGCCGAGTCCGCCGAGGCGGTTTAGGCCTCGGTTTCGCCGACCAAAACTCCATCATCACCCCCCTCCCTCCACCCTCTTACCTAGTGCGCCAGCAGCCGCGCGAGGGTCGGCAGGTCCCGGAGGCCCGGCGCGAGCTCGGCCGCGAGCGCCGCGGCCGCGCGCTGGAACTCGGCGACGGCCTTGGTGTCGCCCTCGACGCTCAGCAGCGTGAGCCCGAAGTGGTCGTCGTCGGCGTCGGCCTCGCGCTCGAGCGTGAGGCGCGCGCCCGCCAGCGCCGCGGACCGCCGCCCCGCCGCGACCTCGGCCGCCGGCGCGTGGAAGTCCGACGAGCTCCACGCGTCGCCGCGGCTCTCGAACGTCGCCGTCGCCGACGCGCACGACAGCGCCGCGCCCCGGAGCGACACGACGGCGTCGGCGACGGCGAGCTCGCGGAACGCCCGGTCCGACCGCGCGGCGACCGCGTCGGCCTGCAGCACGCTGAGCTGGCGGTCCACGTGGTCGCGCCGTTTGCGCTCGTCGTGGAAGCGGTGGTCCCGCGTCGAAAACGATGCCCCCGCGGCCTCGGCCAGCCGCCGCGACGGCGGGCCGCCGGGGCCGACGTCGTGGTGGTCGCGCACGGCGATCGCGAGGCGCACGGGCACGGGCGTCGCGAGCGGCGACGACGACGCGGCCGTGACTTCTCGGATCCCGTCCGCGCACGCGACCGTCGCCCGGCCGACGAGCATCGGCCCGATGGACTTGGCGTAGGAATCGTCGTACACGGCGACCTCGAGCGGCTGGGACGCGTCGACCTCCTCGAACTCGAAGCTGTCGAGCAGCGCGTTGTCGACCGCGGGCCGCGACGACCGCGGCGGAACGCCGCCGACCGCCACCGCGCAGTGGGCCTTCGCCGGCGCGGCGCCGCCGAGGGAGAGCAGGGTCACGGAAACGCAGGACGTCGCCCCGGTTTCCTTTTTCGCGATCCCGTCGCCCGCGGCGCGCCGGCACGCGCGCCGCGCGGCGACGGCGAGGAGGACCGGCGCCTCGCATTCGGCGTCGACGAGCGCGGCCTCGAGGAGCGCCCGCGGCAGCGCCGCCTCGGTCTTGTTTTCGAGGGCGTCGGCGACGCGTTTCGCGTCGGCCTCCGTCGGCGGCGCCGTCGGGAAGGCGCCCGGCGGCGGCGGCCAGGCGCCGCCGCTTCGCTCGAGCGCGGCGACGAGGCGCCGGTACGCGTGCGCGGCGTTCGCCGCCGCGACGAGCGCCCGCCAGCCCGTGCGCCGCCGCCGCGCGGCGAGGCACCGCAGGAGGCGCGCGAGCCGTCGCAGCGACGGCGCGCCCTCGCGCCGCAGCGCGAGCGCCGTCCGCTCGGCCGCCGCGGCCGCGAGCGATTTCACCGCGGCGGCGAGCGCGCGCGCGTGCCGCGGCTGCACCGTCGCCGCGGGGCGCTTCAGCGCGACGGCGCAGCGCGACTCGGCGCGGTCCTTGCGCAGGTCGGCGTCGAGCTCCGCGAGTTGGAAGACGCGCGGCCCGCCGTCGGCCGACCGGGGGAACGCGTCTCGCACGTCCAGGGACACGAAGGACCCGCGGCCGACGTCCACGTGCACCGCGCCGGCCGCGTCGCCGAAGAGCGCGAAGGCGTCGAGGCACTTGGAGACCGCCGGGGCGCCCAGCTCGCCCGCGCCCACGGCACGCGGCCCCAAAACCTCGTCCTGGACGACGCGGATCTCGACGGCGTCCTCGTGGTCGAGCGCGACGTAGACCTGGGCGGGAAACGGGCGATTCAACGTCGCGTCAACGGGGGTGTTCCGCGCGCGCGCGTTGCACGGAAAAACATCCACGCTTCGAGGCCGCTCCGAGAGATGATCGCTCCTCCAAGAGTCAGCCGAAACGAGTGGAAAGCGACCGAGTGAGGAGCCTTTGTGAAGTTGGGCATGTCGCACCCTTTTCCCGCGCTGACGTAGACGGGCGCGCCCCTGGCCGCGCGCAACCAGTCGCGGCCCTTGCGCCGCACCTCGACGCGCTTCTCCGCGGCCAAATAGCCCGTCTCGAAGGCCGGCCCGCTCGCGTCGCGGAGCCGGAGCAACGCGACGCGCGCGCCGTCCCTGAGGCCGCACTCGACGCGCGCGTCGACGGCGCTCCGGTCGCCGCCGTAGGGCTCGTCCGCCTCGTGCGCCGTCGCGGAGACGTCGCGCAGGGCGCAGGCGCCGCGCTTCGCGTCCTCCTTGGCGTTCTCCAGAACGACGGACCCGACGGCGACGCCGACGGAGCCGTGGCCGTCGTCCGTCGGGTACTCGACGCGCGCGCTCCAGCGCCGGCCCTCGAAGCGGTAGCCCGCGACCTGCTCCAACAGGCTCGCCTCCTCCTCATCGGTGACGCGCGCCTCGCGCGGCGTGCCGACGAGCCCGTCGACGAAGGCCACGTGCTTGAGGCGCCGCGCGCGCGCCTCCGCGGCGTCGCAGGCGCGCGACGGCGCGACGACGACCGAGACGTCCTCGACGATGGCGTTGCTGTCGAACGGCTGGATCGTGACCTTGCCGACGCTGAGGCGGCTGATCTCGACGAGGCCGCCGACCTTTTCCGCGAGCTTGTCCGTGTCGAGGTGGAGGTTCGTGAGGACTATCGAACCATCCGACTCGACTCGTACTTCGTCGGTCTCCAGGCCCCACTGCGTTGCGTGCCGGTCGAGCACGGATTTTATGAGAGAGGCGAGCATTGGCGGCCGAAGCGGGCATACTACGAGCAATATCACCACACAAAGATCGACATCAGGGTTTGCATCGCCTGGGAAACATCGCTCAAAGCGTGGCAAAACCTTTGAAAGGCTCGAGAGAGCATCGATCGGCGCGTCTTGCGAAGTGGCCTGCAAGTGTCACGTGGCAAAAAGGCTCGAGAGCATGCTGCGCCCCGCCGACAAGACCCTCGTCAAAGACGCGGCGACGGCCAGCGTCGCGGCCGTCGCCGTGGCCGCCGCCGTCGGCTCGCAGTTTTCGACCTGCGCGCACTGGTCCGCGTCGCTCGTCGACAAGTGCCGGAGCGCGCTGTCCCAGGACCTGCCGCACGACCTGAGCCACTTCGTCGCGCCGTTCGTCGAGCCGCTCTGCGGGACGCTGGCCGAGGGGCACTGGGCGCTCTGCGCGATCGTCGTCGCCAACGCGGCGTGCTACCTGCCGGCGAAGGTGCACCTAGACGCGTGGGCGATCTCGCGGCACACGCTGAGCCACGAGCGGCTGCTCAAGTCCCAGCTCGCGCACGCGAACCACGGCCACATCCTGGGAAACATGCTCACGCTGCTCGCCGTCGGCTCGGAGGTCTCGGCCGCGCTCGGCTGCAACCAGCTGCTCCTCCTCGCGCTCTACCTCGCGTGCGGCTGGGCCGGCGGCGTCGCGGCGGCGCTCCTCTCCCCGGCGCACACGCGGACGGTCGGCGCGTCGGGCGCGGTGTCGGGCGTGATCCTCGCGCTCAGCGTCCTGCGCCCGAACGCCGCGGTGGACATCCTCGGCGACGTCAAGGCCGCGCACCCGCTCATGCTGCTCTTCGGCACGCTCATGGCCGACCTGACGCGCGGCGGCATCTCGTGGCAGGGCCACTTCGGCGGCGGCGCGGCGGGCTGCCTCCTCGCGCTGCCGCTCCGGCTCCTCTCGAGCTGAGCCTTTTTTCTCACGGCTTCCACCAAGCCACGACGCACTTCTCCTCCATTTACCCCGAGTATGACCACCTCTCGACCCCGTACTGACACTGCAACTTCGCGACGTTGAAGTTCATTAGGTTCATTGTGAATCGAGGAGGCATGGGGACCCGCTAAGCCATTGCGATGCTGCGCGCAATCGCGGTCGCGACGACGCTCGCCAATGCAGCGATCCGCATCGAGGAGAACGTGCCGCGCGTGAAGAAGGGCAAGGCGACCTTCGACGGCTGGCGCTTCCTCGGCCCGCGCGGCGCCGCGTCGACGTCGATGCAAGTCATCAACACACAAATGAAACACACGTAGGTGGCCGAGCGGGAAGACGGAGTACGAGGGCGACCCGCTGGCGGCGCACGGCGGCGTCTACGCGCAGCTCGACGGCGCCGCGCCGCCGCCGCGCTTCGCGGAGCACGGCGGCGACCTCGGCGGCTGGCGCGACGCGGCGGCGGCGGCGGACGGCGCTGCGCGCCTCGGCCACGACCACGTCGACGTCCAGGGGTTGATGCGATCGCCGCCGCTCGGCACGTCCCAGGACGTCATCCACGTGCAGTACTGGGTCGCGGGGAAGATGCGCGTGACGCGCAACGGAACCTATACCGTCTCGTGCCGGTCGCTCCACGCCTTCGAGCTCCGGGACGCCAACGGTGTTATTATCGGCCCCCTCCTCGGCGACGTCTACGGGCGGGGCCACGCGACGCCGCTGAAGCTCGGCGCGGGCGCCTACGACGTGGTCTCGCGGGTAAGAGGGAAGCTGCCGCTGCAATTCTCCTGCGCCGCCACCTGGGTCCACACGAAGCACGTCGGCCTCGCGGCCAAAGTCGTCGGCGCCGCGCCGGACCTCGTCCGCGGTCGCTTCGTCAACGACGCGGCCGTGCTGTGTCTGGAACTTCGAAACCTCAGTCCGACGGCCTGGAAGTTCGCTCACGCCACGCTCACCGACGCGGGCGGCGGCTTCGCGCTCGGCGGCGCCGCCGACCCCGTGTCCCTGGCGCCCGGGTCGACGACGAGCGTGCTCCTGCGCCTCGCCGCAAACGGCCCCGCCGACGACGTCGAGGCCGACGGCTGCGCCGAATACGAAATCTACGTCGCCGCCGTCGTCGTCAAGGGCGCGCTGCGCTGCCGCGCGCGGAGCCAGAGCGCGCTCATGACCTTCGCCGACGGCGACGGGTCCCTGGGCGCCGCGGGCGTCCTCTTCCCGCGGCGCGGGGACGGCGCGGGAAATTCGGTCGTGCTCTCGCTGGCGGGCGTCGGCGTGTCCGCGCAGGCGCAGGCCGACGCGTACAAGCGCAAGGTCGACGAAGCCGACGCGGACTACACCTTCGGCTTCGAGGATCTGTGGGTGCTCTGCCCGGACCGCGCGGGCCCCCACAACTGGGAGGACCTGGGCCTGCGGACCGCGGAAAGGGCGGTGCGCGTCCTCGCCGCCGACCGCGGCGCGGACGCCACAAACATCGTCGTCCACGGCCACTCGCGGGGCGGCCACGGCGCCTGGGGCTTCGCCGTGCGCTTCCCGGATCTCGTGAGAGGCGTCTTCTCCGCCTGCGGCTGGTCGAGCAGGGAGGAGTACGGCGACGCGAACAATCTATGGACCCACGAGACGGCGCTCGCCCACGCGGACCGCGCGCTCCTGGGGACGCTCCAGGGCGCTGTGGGCGACAACGACAACGCGCTCTTCCTGGCGAATCTACGGGGCGCGAAGGCGCTCGTGCGGGTGGCGTCCCGGGATCGCACCGTGAGCCCGTGGTTCGGCCGCAAGGTCGCGCGGCTCCTCGACGAGCACGGCGCCGACGTCGAGTTGGACTCCGTCGACGCGGACCACTGGTGGTGGGACACGGCGCGGCCCAACGACGGCGGCGCGGTCCACGACGACGCGGCGCGGGCCTTCACGCTCGCGGCCGCGGCCGCGCGCCGGACGACGCTGGCCGACGTCTTGGCGAAGGGCCCCGTCACGGTCGTCGCCGGGTCGCCCCAGACCTACGGCGGCCGCTTCGGCCTGCGCGTGGTGGACCGGCCGGACCCGGGCGCGCGCGCGTTCGCGACGTTCAAATCCAACGCTTCGCTCGAGACGCGGAACGCGCGGCGCCTCGCGCTCGCCGGCGAGGCCCTCGCGGCGCTGCCGTTGACCATCGACGGCGACCGCGTCGACGCGCCGGAGACCTGCTGCGACTCCTTGGATCTGTGCCGGGAGAATGCGTCCTGGGCGCCGTGCGCGGCGCCGCCGCGGCGCCCGCCGGAGCTCCGGGGCCCCATGCGCCACTTCTTCGCCGAGCCCTGGGTCGTCGTGCTGCCCCGGGACTACTCCGACGCCGAGCTCGCGTTGGCCACCTACGTCGCGTCGAACCACTACGTCTGGGCGCGGACGAGCACGCGCGTCGTGTCCCTGGCCGACGCGGCGCCGCTGCGGAACTCGCACCGCTTCCTCTACCTCGGCCTGCGGGCCCAGGACCGCTTCCCGGACACGGACGGCTGGCCCGTGCGCGACGTCGGCGGCGCGCTGCGCGTCGGGGACTGCGCCGTCGACGCCGCGGACGGGCCCGGCGCCGCGTTCCTCGCGCCGTCGCCGGCGGGCCGCCTCGACCTCGTCGTCACCGCGAGCCGCGCGGAAACGCTCGCGTGGCTCGCGACGACGACGTTCGCGTCGAACCAGCCCCACACGCGCGCGCCCTTCTCGAACATGCTCCCGGACTTCGTTCTGGTCGACGAGGACGCGCGGTGGACGGGCGTCGGCGGCGTCCGCGCCGCGGGCTACTTCGACGACGCCTGGGGCGTCGCGTCCGGGTTCTTCTCATGCTAACACTCGGGGCGTCCGGCGTTCGGTCGACGGTCCTGTTAAAATGTTACCAGCCCTTGCAGATGGGCCACGAGTCCAGAATGAGCCCGCTGAATTCATCGCGAACGACGTGGCACTCCGCGTGCTGGTGGGTCGCGGCGCAGGAGTGGTGGGGCGCGACCTCGAGGATCGTGCCGATGGGGTAGGATTCGAAGTTCAGCGGGCTCCCGTCGCGCGTCGTGATCTCGCCGCACTCCTGCTTCAGCGTGACGATCGCGAGCTCCGGGTGCTTCGGGATCGCGCCGTAGCCGCACTCCTTGCCCTGGGCCGACAGGCCCGTCCAGCCCGCGTCGATGAGCAAGATGTTCGACCTCTTGTAGTGGCCCACGACGCGCGTGATGACGCGCACGGCGACGTCGTCCACGGACGCGCAGGACCCGAGCCTCAGCTGCGTCGTGTCGTAGTACAGAAAGTTCCCCGGGTGCATCTCGTCGACGCCGTCGAGGTGCTCCGGCGGGTTCGAGCACGTCGGCGTGCTGCCGACGCCCACGCAGGGCACCGCGAAGCCCGCCCGCCGCACCTTGTCGGCGAACGCGACGGTGTTGTCGCGCTCGGCCCGCGCGATCGCGCGCACGTCCTCGACGGACGCGCAGTCGTAGCTGTGGCCCCCGTGCGTGTACAACCCCGCGAACTCGAGGTCCTCGCAGGCGACGATGGCCTCCACGAGTTTCAGCGACTCCGGATCGTCCGGATCGACGCCGTCGCGGTGGTAGCCGCAATCGACGCCCACGAGCACCTTCACCACCGGTTCCCCCTCCATCCTCTCCAGGAGCGGCGTCACCTGGTCCATGTGGTCGACCATGACGTAGAACTTTTCGAGCCGACACGACAGATCTTCGACGTCGTCGATCTTGTCGGGCGTGAGCGGCACGGCGTAGACGATGTCGTCGAAGCCGCCGGCCTCGAGGAAGAAGGCCTCGGCGAGCGTGCTGACCGTGAGCTTTCGCTTCGTGCCGCCCGTCGCGATCGTCGCCGCGCCGAGCGTCTTCACGGTCTTGAAGTGCGGCCGCAGCTCGCAACCCAGACGCTCGGCGCGCGACCGCATGCGCGCGGCGTTGGCCTTGAGCACGTGCTCATAGCAGATGAGGTTCGGCGTGCGCAGGCTCTTCACGCTGCGCGTGCGCACTTGCTTGCGCTGCGGCTTGTGTAGTTTCAATTCGCTCATTCGGCCTTTGCGAGAGCGACGACCGTCGTCGCAGCCAGGCTTTTGGGCTGCCCACCTCGCGACAGAATCGAGCCAGCGAGGGCAGCGCGCCGTTAGCGATCACTATTATTATGGGTGCAGTGCGTGCACGGCAAGATCCCGACAAGATCTTCGCAACGAGATCTCGAGGCTCGACACACGGTGTGCACAGACAACGCTTCAACAAGGGGACATTGACGCGCCGTCCCCCGGCGGCTCTCTGTGCATGCTAGGTCGGGCCCCGGGGAGCGCCGCGCGGCGCGGATCGACGGCCGCGGGGGCCCGGGGCCGCGCGCGGCCTACGCGGCCGTCGGCGACGCCGGGGGCGAGTTCGCCTTGCGCTCGGAGATGGTCTGGCGCGCGTTGCGCATGGCGGCGTGCATGTCGCTGTCGAAGCGCGCGTTGGCGGACTTGCGCGCGATGCGCGAGCCCTCCCGTCGCTTGTTCGCGTGGGCCTTCACGCCGCCCGCGGCCGTGCCCATGATCTCGCGCTGGTGCTCGATGTAGGGCTTGAGCTGGCGCATGGCCATGTCGTGGACGAGGGCCGTGCGCAGCGGGAACCAGATCGTCGTGTGGTAGTTCTTCTCGTCGAAGAGCTTCCGGAGGTCGACGATGAGCTCCGGGGGGATGTTGAGCTTCGTCGCGGGCCCGCCGTCGCAGAAGTGCTTCTCGAGCATGCGCTCGACCTCGAGCCTGCGCGTGAGCTTCTCCTCGTCCGTGTCGCCCTCGTCGTCGTCGCAGATCGCAAACTGCTTCACGTACTCGTCGATGTCCGTCCACAGATCGATCTCCTCCTCGCTGGATTTGTCGAGGGCGAAGGCCTGGAAGTCGGCGAGGTCCGCCGGGTCCTCCATGATCTGCATCATGACGCGGTCGAGCTGCTCCTCGTCGTTCAGGTCGATGTTGTTCTCGATGGCCGTCCTGCTCGGCCGCCGCTGCCGCTTCGGCGGCGCGTCCCCGTTCGCCGGCGCGGGGCTCGCGTCCGCCGGCTTCTCCGGCGACACGGCCGACGCCGCCGGCTTCGCTAAGCAGGGCCCCATGCTACGTGTATTCACTGGCCGCGGACCATCGGTAGCGCGGTCGTTTGTCGATGTATCACTGAATCGTTTGCTTGAGGCGGTTATTTCATGGCAAAGATGAGAGTTTTTTTCGTTGTAGATGAAGGTGCCTTTTTTCCGCCGGCGAAAAAATAGGACGCCCCGTTACCTCCGCGCGTCGATGAGGGCGTCGAGGTCCGCGAGCGTCGTCGCGATGTCCGCGTCGTCGTCGACGGCGTAGGTGCCGTCGTCGCCGAAGGCCGCGCCCTCGTAGTCCGCGCGCGCGTCGGCGACGAGCGCCGCCCTGGCGTTCTCGCCCTCGCGCAGGTCGCTGACCCAGGGCTTGACGAAGTTGCCGTCGTCCCAGGCCTCGTAGCAGCCGTCGTCCTCGCCGCGGTAGTTCGACACGAGCATCGTCGGCAGGTAGCCGTTTTGGATCTTCTTGAGCATGCGCTTCATCTGCGCCGGGTAGTGGCTCTTGAGGTCGTTGCGCTCGCCCGGGTCCGCCGTGACGTTGTAGAGCGCCGTGAGCCGGCCGGAGACGTGGATGTTGTTGAGGTGGAAGTTCGGCTCGTCGGACGGCGCGAACCAGGAGATGTTCTTCTCGTTGTAGATGAACTTCCAGTCGCCGATGATCAGCGCCGCCCGGAAGTAGCCCAGGTAGTCGCCGGACCCGTCGAGGTAGTCGATGTTCAGGAGGAGCTCGTCGCGCGGCGCCGCGGCGGCCGCGTCAACAGCGCCGACGACGTGCGCCCAGTGGTCGACGCCGTCGATGGCGCCGTAGTCGTTGACGACGCCCCGGGGCAATTTCAGGCCCGCGAGCTCGTCGGCCGACGCGCCGAGGGCGCCCTGGAGGAGCGTGGGCAGCCAGTCGGACATGTGCATGAGCTTCCCGTACGACGACCCCCGCGCGGCCCGCGGGAGCAGGGGGCTGTGGATGACGGCGTGGGCGCGGACGCCGCCCTCGAACAAATACTTCTTCTCGCCGCGGAGCGGGTAGTTGGACCCGCCGCCCATCGCGCTGACCTGCCCGCCGTTGTCGCTCGCGATCACGATGACCGCGGTGTCGTAGAGGCCCGTGGCCTTCAGGCCCCGGTTCGTCAGGTTCGCCAGCGATTCGTCGGCGTTCATCATGAGCGCCGCGAAGTTCTTCCGGTCGTGGTTCGGGATGTCCAGCAGCGTCGCGTTGCGCCTTTCGAGCAGCTCCGTCGGCGGCTGGAGCGGCAGGTGCGCGTTCGGGTAGCTCACGTAGGCGAAGACGGGCTCGGACTTCTTTTCGACGGCGTGGCGCTCGAGCACGGCGATGGCCCGCTCGTTCATGAGCGACGTCTGGTGCTGGCCGTGCGCGTCGGTGACCGGTCGCTCGTCGTCCCACAAATCTCGATAGCAGCGCCAGACGTAGCCCGTCGACGGGTCCTTGACGTAGACGTGGGCGCTGCGGCCCTCCTCGTCCAGCGCGTCGTCGTCGGGGCTCCGCGTCGCGTGGTCCGTCCGCCGGAAGTCGTCGTCGTCGAAGTCCGTGCGGTTGAGGCACGCCTCCTGGCTCACGTGCGTCAGGTAGTCGACGCCGCCGCTGTAGAACCCGTAGAAGGAGTCGAAGCCCCGGTTCAGGGGCGTCGACGCGTTGTTGTAGTGGCCCAGGTGCCACTTGCCGACCATGTGCGTCGAGTAGCCGAGCGCTTTCAGGTACTGGGCCAGGGTCGCCTCGCGCGTCGGCAGGCCCCAGGGCTCGGACGGCGCGACCTGCCAGTGCTGGAGCTCGAGGTGGATGGGCAGCTTGCCCGTGAGCATGGCCGCGCGCGACGGCGTGCAGACCTGCTGCCCGTAGAGTCGGTCGACGCGGACGCCGTCGGCCATCAGACCGTCGAGGAAGGGCGTCATCTCGCCGAGGTCGCTCGACGCGTAGCCCACGTCGTTGAAGCCCACGTCGTCCAGCATGACGAAGACGACGTGGGGGCGCGTCTCCGCCGCCGCCGCGAGCTTCGCGAGGTCCTGCTTCGTCTCGCCGGTGGCTTCGAGAGGGGCTGCGGCGTTGAGCGCCGCCGTCGGCGCGTCGGTTCGGGTCCGCCACGACACCGCGGCGAAGGCGAGGCCCACGGCGGCCAGCAGGGCGGGCCATGCCCTGGGGCTTGGCCTGCCCATCGCGCCCGGGCTGCTTGGTGGTCAGCTAATCTGGAGTGCAAGGTAAGATACGAGTTTTGTTGACCCCGGCCACAATTGTAATCTGAGCCCTCTCATTTTCAAACGCAGTGCGCTGAATCGTCGCCTCCGGCCGCGTGCACCGCCACGATGCCTCCCTCGAAGCGCAAGATCGCCTTCGTCAGCGACGCCACCCTCCAAGCCGGCGACAAGCTCGAGGCGACGCGCCTGCCGCACCCGCGCGGCGTCGACGAGGTGCTCTTCGCGCGGCGCGGCGCGCGGCTCCTCGAGCTCCAGCGCAAGACCGCTTCCTTCGGCGCCTGGTTCGTCGACGGCGGCGTCGTCTCCGAGACGGGCGTCGTCCTGGCGACGCCCTACGACGCGCGGTTCTCGCTCCTCGCGATTCTCAACGGGCGGCCCGCGGAGCTCCGGGGCAAGTTCGCGCCCCTGGAGCAGATCGTCGCCGACGGCGCGGAGCGGCACGGCTGCCGGGCGCTGCTGGAGCTGCTGCAGCTCGACCTCGGCGATCTGGGCGCGCTGTGCGAGAAGCACGCCGCCTACGACGAGGACATGCGGCTCGTGCGCCTCGACGAGGCCGGGTGCCTGGCCTGGCTGCGGGCCAAGGCGGACCGCGTCGCGGCGACGCTCGACGCGGCGACGAAGGCGCGGCCCGAGGTCGCGGCCGCGTCCGATTCCGCGTTCGTCGCCGCGTCGACCGCGGGCGCGGCGGCGGAGGGCGACGGGCCGTCGCGCAAGAGCCGGCTCCGGGGCTGCCAGGCCGTCTGCGAGTACGTCGACGACGCCTGGGCCGCGAAGCTCGCCTCGGCCCTCGGCTTCGCGCTCAACGAGGTCTTCCCGGGCCTGCCCCAGGGCGCGGCGGCCGGCGCCGCGCCGGGCGACGAGAACGCGGTCTGGCACCACGAGGCCGAGCAGCAGAAGCTCCACGAGCTCGCCTTCGGCACGGCGGCGAAGCGCGCCAAGGTCGACGCCGCGGCCGCGAAGGCCGTCGTCACGACGAAGCAGGCGAACCTCGCCAAGGCCGCCAAGGGCACGAAGTCCATCGCGTCCTTCTTCGGCGCCAAGAAGAAGAAGTAGGCGCGGCACTCTCAGTCTAAGCAACGTCGCTCGCCTTAAAACAGCCCTACCGCAGCTTGACGCCGAGCTTCCGCGACGCGGACGCGGGCCCCTGGATCGACGGCGTCATGGAGAGCACGGGCTTGTCGAAGCGCTTCATCTTGCGCCCGGACGTGTTCCGCAGGCCCTCGGCGACCTTCAGGATCTCGGCCGCCGACAGGTTCCGGCCGTCGGCGACCTTGTCCTCGCCCCAGACGTACGCGCCTTTGACGACGGGGTGCTTGCCGCGGCCGAGCTCGGCGCGGCAGTCCACGGACGCGTTGGCCTCGGCGAAGGCCGCGAACTTGTCGCGCACGAACTCGCGCGCGCCGCGCGAGCTGCCGCCGTGGGGGCAGTAGCGCACGACGAGGCTTTTTAGCTGGAGGACGCCCCGGTGCGACATGGCCTTGCGTCGCGGGCGGCGCCGGAGGCGTGCGGGCGACGCGCCGGCGACGGAACCGCGCGGACAGCGCTGCGGGGCGGGCGCCGAGCAGCCACGCGCGCGCCGTCGGAGCGGCGAGAGTCGATGCGGGCCTGCTTCACCACCTCTTGCACCATCATCCCGACGAGTTTTGGCTTACGTGCCAGCGCGATGGCTGCCCCGCGCCGGGATCCCCGCCCCGCCGCGGGCGTCGCGGCCGGCCTCCTCGTCGTCTGCCTGGGCGCGTCGAGCCTCTGGGCGCCGTCCGCACCCGGCGCCGCCCAGCTCGCCGCCATCTCGAGCGCCAGCCGCCCCAGCGGGCAGTCCATCCAGAAGGCGGGCCGCCCCGCGGGCACGTCGCTGCCCACGGCCACGAACGAGAAGCGCGCCGCCGGCGACCCGACGAAGCCGACGTCCTTCACGTCCGGCGCCCTGCTCTACAAGCGGACCCACGCCGTGTCCGACGCCGTCGCGGCCGTCGACTTCGTGCAGTCGAAGTTGGGCCTGCCGCTCGACCTCAACGGCACCTACCACTGCGCCGCGGGCAGCCCGGGCTACACGGCGTCGCTCGCGGGCCGCGCGGACCTCTGCGCGCGGCGCGCGCTCTTCAGCGGCCTCGGCGGCTTCAGCGTGCACTACTACGAGAGCCACACGACGCAGGACGGCGCCGTCTCCGTCGGCGACTGGGTCGACGCGTGGACGTCCATGCACAACTTCAGCGCGGCGGACTTTTCCTGGAACGAGTTCGTCCACCAGGGCATGACCTTCTGGGCGCCGACGCTCGACCCGTTTTTGGGATTCTGGGGCCACGACGTCGCGGTCTTGTATCGGAAGTACGTCGAGTCCTCGTCCGGCGACCGGGTCTACTCCGCGCGCGTCGTCGTCCCGGGCAGCGGGCACGTCGTGGAGATCGTGTCGCGCAACGTCAGCGACCCCAAGCCCTTCTCGAACTACTCGGAGGTCGGCGAGTGCCCCGAGGCGAACCACCTCGCGTCGACGATGGCCGAGCTCGAGGACCAGTGGACCAAGTTCGGCGGCTCGAGCCACGCGGAGGACCTGGGCCTGCCGGATCTACTGATTGCGCAGATCACGATGCCCGTCGCCAACGAGGCGGACACGCCGCGCTTCGGCGACTTCCTTCGGACGCACCTCTCGCCCGAGGACCAGCGCACCGTCCGGTCCTCGGAGAAGACGATCATCGAGAAGAACGGCCGGACGACCTGCGCCCACGCGGACACGATGGTGTCCCTCACGCTCAACGGCTCCTACCAGGTGCCCATCCGCTACGTCTACAACGCGGACGCGGCGCGGACCGAGGGCCGGTCCGTCCACGTCTACGGGACGCTCTACACGGACCACCTCGACGAGGTCATGGGCTGCGACGCCGCCTACGCGCGCTACGCCGACTGGCACGTCGGCATCGAGACCGAGGCGACCCTGGACTACAGCGCGGCGCGTCTTTGCGCGAACGACGTCGGCTTCAAGAACGGCGGCACGACGAACCTCACGCAGCTGAACCTGACGACGACGGCGGGGCCCTTCAACTGGACGGCGGCGGACGCGAACATTACGAATGCCATCCTCGGGTCGAACTGGTGCCGCGGCACGAACGGCCTGGGCGTCGAGTTTAGAGGGACGTACGACTTCGACTTTTTCAAGAGCGACGCGATCCGCCTCCTGGACTACTGCTCGCCGACGGGCAACCCGCGGCCCTGGGGGTTCGCCCAGGACGACGAGAACCAGATGGAGTGGTGCCCCTACGACTTCGACGAGGACTGCGACGACTGCGGCGAGCCGGCGACGACCGCGGACGACGGCGACGACGCGCCCGCGGTCGCCGGCACGGACGACGTCGCCGACGCGTCGGGCGGCGGCGGCGTCGCGGCGACGGACGACGCCGCGGACTCGTCCGGCGGCGGCGTCGTCGCGGCGACGGACGACGTCGCCGACGCGTCGGGCGGCGGCGTCGTCGCGGCGACGGACGACGTCGCCGACTCGTCCGGCGGCGACTCGTCCGGCGGCGACTCGTCCGGCGGCGACTCCTCGCCGTGATTGACTTTCCTTTGTTTGTAACATTTTATTCCGATCCACTCCTCGCCGTGATTTGACCTCCCTTTGTTTGTAACATTTTATTCCGACTCGAGCACGGGCGCCGGCTTCGCCGGGGCGCCGTGGTCGGGCCCGCGCCGGTCGACCCAGAGCGTGAGCGCGAAGCGCGGCCGCCGCTTCGGCGCGCGGACCTCGTGCCACACGGTCCGGCTAAAAAAGACGACGAGCCGGCCGGGCAGGGGCGGCACGACGCGCGGCGGCGCCCCGTCGTCGCCGTGGAGCGCGAGCGCGCCGCCGTCGAGCTCCGGGTCCCAGTCGTCGTCGTTGACGTAGAGCAGCACCGTGAGCTCGCGGTCGTTGTAGCGCTCGTTGGCGTACCAGTCCTTGTGTTTCCTGTAAGAAACACCCGGGCCGTAGGCCGACGCCATGGCCCGCGGCGAGTTCGCGAGCGGGACGCCCGTCGCCGCCTCGACCTCGTAGGCGACGCCGCGGAGCGCGTCGACGGCCGCGGCGACGGCCGGCGCGCGCGCGGCGCCGTCGAGCGCGAGCGTCGTCGACCGCGAGCCCGCGTTGCACGAATCCGCCGACGGCGCGCCGAAGAGATCGCCGCTCGCGAGGCCCGCCGCGAAGACCGCGCGGAGCTCCGCGGCGAGGCCCGCGTCGAGCGCGCCGTCGACGACGCAGGAGCCGCGGCGCGCGAGCTCCGCGACGCGGCGGCCGTCGCGGAAGAGCGCGCGGGCCGCGGCCGTCGGCGCCGGCGGCCCCATGAGCGCGAGCCGCGCCGCGCGCCGCGCCGCGGACCGCGCCTCCTTGGCGACGCGGAGCGCGAGCACGCGCTCGAACTCGGCGAACTTGGCGAGGAACCAGCAGGCGCCGTCGCCAACGTCGCCTTGGAACGCGCCCGTGGCCGCTAGAGCGGCGCGCCCGTCCGCCGACGCCGCGAGGCCGCGCGCGGGCCCGAGCCGGGACCGCGCGAGCGCCGTGCAGGCCCGGACGAGCGGGCCGTCGTCGGCGCCGCGGGCCAGCGCGACGAGCGACGGGTGCGCCGACGTGACGAAGAAGGGCAGCACGGCGGCCGGCGCCGCCTCGCCGCGCGCCAGCAGCGCGGCCTGCAGCGCCTCCAGGGATTGCCCCTGGTAGTCGTGGGTGGCGGCGCGCGCGGCCCGCAGCGCCGCGTCGTCGCAGCGGGCCTGCAGCGCCGCCATCGGCACGGCTGCCTCGATTAAGAGGCCACCATGTTCTATTCGCGCTTCAAATTGAAGCTCAATGTAGTTATTGGAATTCGCTTTTTAAGCTGCCCGCTAATGGTCGACCCGGCTCCACCGCGCTCTGCGACGCCGCGGACAACGGCCTGCCCGTAGAGAGCGTCAAGATGATGCGCAGCCTCGTCCTTCCCGTCCTCCTCTGCGTCGCCGGCGCCCTCGACGACCTGTCGCCGGAGGTGAAGCCGACGCTCGTGCTCTGGCTGGCGCCGACGTCCGTCGACGCGACGCGCACGGGCCACGTCGTGCGCTGGCGCGACGCGAGCGGCGGCAAGTACGTCTTCGCGCCGCTGTCGTCGGCGCAGCACAAGGCGGCCCACGCGCGCTGGCGCACGGCCGTCTCGAAGCAGCGCGCGCGCGCCGCGGCGGCGCCGCCGGACGGCGTCGAGGACGCCTTCGCGGCGGCCGTGCGGCCGGCGACGGGCGCGGTCGCGTTTCCCGCGCCGCTCATCGCGTCGAGCCTCCAGCTCCGCGACGGCATCACGTGCTTCTTCGTCGTGACGCCGCGCTGGCTCCACGAGGGCGACCAGGCCGTGGGGCAGCGCTTCTTCGGCCACTACCCCTTCGGCCAGTTCCGGTTCCACGACCGGCGCCTGGGCTTCAAGACCGAGGCCGGCGACGTGCTCCATTCCTACGGGGGCCTGCGGGACGGCGAGGCCGTCGTCGCGGCGTACCGCTTCGACGGGGGCGTGGAGATGGCCGTCAACGGCCTCCCGTTCGAGGCGGGCGCGGCGGCGAAGCGCGGCGTGCGGCCCAAGGCGACGTTCTCCGCGAGCGGCTACGTGACGCTCGGGGGCTGCCCGCCGCACAACGCCTTCATCGGCGACGTGCACGAGGTCATGATCTTCGGCGTCGCTCTGGACGACGCGGACGCGCGCCACGTCGCCGAGGTCCTCGGCGAGAAGCACGGCGTAACGCTCGCGCTCTCCGACGCGTCCGGCGCGGCGACCCACGAGCACGCGCTGCCCGTGGCCCACGGCGGCGACGACGCGGCGGCCAGGTACCGCGCGAGCCGGAGCGCGGCGCCGCCCCCGATGGCCGAGCTCCTCCAAGACGTCGCGGGCGCCGAGGCGCCGCCGCGGGACGTCGACGTCGTCGCGGCGCGGCAGCAGGCCAACGCCGCGCGCCTCCGGAGCGCCGCGGACACGCACGCGGCCTACGCGGGCATCAAGGCGAGCCGCGAGGCCGACAAGTACGCGGACAAGAGCGGCAAGGGCGCCAAGCCGGCGCCTCAGACGAAGGGGTCCCTGCTCCAGCAGCTCCAGGAGGCCCAGGCGCGCATGGCCGAGCTCCAGCACGCCGTCGACGGCACGGCGCCCGCGGACCGCTACGGCGGCGGCGCCGCGCAGCCCGACGGTTTGGCCCGAAACGGCAAGGTCAACCCCTACCGGCGCGGCCCGCCCCCCGAGGACCGCTACGCGGGCGGCCGCGTGCACCCGCGCGGCGGCGAGGCCAAGGTCGCGGCGCCCGCGCCCGCGGCGCCCGTCCAGCTCGAGAGCGTGCCCCAGCTGAAATCCGCGGCGGGCGCGTGCCTCGGCGGCGACGCCTTCGCGAAGATCTCCACGAACCGCTGGGACCCGCCGGCGAACGCGCGCCTCGAGGACATCCAGCGCTGGCAGAAGGCCAAGGCCGAGTCCGACAACGCCATCAAGAAGTTCCCCCGCGGCGGCAAGGAGCTCCGGTCCTACGTCCACGACCAGGTCGACCGCCTCCGGCTCCTGCGCCACAACGTCTTCTGCAACTACCTCAACGCGTAATGGGAGGCTAGAAGAAGAAGATGAGGGAGAAGAGCTGGAGGAGCCGCGGGTCGTGGAGGACCTTGTCGACGAGCTCCTGCTGCGTGACGACGCCGTCGTGGTCCGCGTCCAGGTCGTCGAAGTGGTCGATGGTGTAGCCCACGAGCTTCGCGTAGCGGTCCTTGACGTTGTGGATGTAGCGCGTCACCTCCTCGAGCTTGATCGACGTATCGTCGTCGTCCGCGTCGTCGTCGATCAGCTTGTACAGGATGCGGCTCTTGTCGACGTAGGTCACGCAGAGCGCCTTGCCCACGGCGGCCCAGACGCCCCGCGGGTCCACGGGTGCGACGGGCGAGTCCCGGTCGCGCTCGACGATGGCGAAGACCGCGCCGATCGCGCCCGCGACGGTGTCCGCGCCGATCGCGGCCGCGACGGCGCCCGCGCCGTCCGCGGCCGCGTCCCGGTCCACGCCGAGCCACTTGCAGGCGAGCTCGACGCAGGTCGCCTCGTCCGCGGCCTCCATCAAGACGAACTCCGGGTAGGCGGCGATCCACGCGCGGATGACGTCCGCGTTCGGTCCCGGCCTGGGCAGCACAAGGGTGATTCAACGTCGCTTCAACGTGAGTGTTCTCCGCGCGCGCGTTACGGAAAACACATCCACGCTTCGAGGCCGTTCCGAGAGATGATCGCTCGTCCAAAAATCAGCCGAAACGAGTGGAAAACGGCCGAGATATGAGCCTTTGAAGTTGGGAATTTCGCTCTCTTGTCCTGCCCCGGTCCCGGCTTGAGGTTTGCGTCGCCGACGATCGCCAGTTCCGCGTAGCGCGGGTCGTCCGGCGACAGCGACGCGCGGCCCAGGGGCGCGACCTGGACGGCGCCCCGGGGCGTGTCCGTCGCGTCGTGTTCCTTGGCGCGGAAGCAGGCGACGAGCGTCGCCGTCGCGGCCGCGATCGCCGGATGGAGCGGCGGGAGCGAGTTCCAGCAGTAGTTGATGTAGATCTTCTCGCTGCCCATGACCTTGAAGAACTCGCCCATGGTGATCTTGCCGTCGCCGTTGAGGTCCAGCTTCCAGTTCACCTTGAGGCAGTGCTCGTACATGTTGCCCAGGTCGTCCTCGTGGTCCTCGAGCACGTCCGTGACCTCCCAGAGCTCGACGTTGCCGTCGCGGTTGACGTCGTAGAGGCTGAAGATGTAGGCGAGCTGGGCCGCGACGTCGTCCGTGGGCATGAACCGCGCCATGCCGATGACGAACTCGTCGAAGTCGACCTTGCCGTCGCGGTTCACGTCGAACGCGCGCGTCGCCCGCTGCAGCACGCGGCCGTCCTCCAAATTCTGGAACCGCGCGAGCAGGAGCTCCGTGAGCTGCTCCACGGAGATGACCTTGGACCCCCCGTGGATCGCGGGCTGCACCTGCGTGACGTTGAAGAAGGTCTCGCGGAGGTCGAGGAGGTCCGTGAAGGCCATGTCCGTGGCGATCATCAGATCCGTGAGCGCCTTCGTCGTCGCCACGGCGTTGAGCTTCTTCTTCCGGTTCTTGACGTCCTGCCGCACGGCGTGGGACGCCGCGTCGGGGTCGTGCGTGTCCTCGAGGAGCGCGTCGATCTTCTTGCCCGCCTCGGCCTCGGCGCGGTTCCGGACCTGGCGGATGCTGTGGCGCGCGCGCGCGCGCTTGAAGCGGTCGCTGGAGCTGTCGGCGTCGAGCTTCTTGGGGCCCTTCTTCACGAACTCGCCCGAGTTGCGCACGACGCGCATCGTCGCCCGGAAGTCGCCCCGGAGCATCGCGAAGATGAGGCCGTGCTTGCTGAAGTCGTTCTGGCAGAGCGCCCAGAGCTTCGCGACGGGCAGGCTCGTCGTCGCGCCCGTGCCGCCGTTCGCCGCGGGGCCGTCGGCGCGCTTCCAGACGTTGTCCGCCATGTCCGCGATGTCCTTGGGCTTCACGTCGCCCTTGAGCACGCCGCAGACGCGGAGGCCCTGCGCGACGTCGAGGAGCAGCCGCTCGAGCTCGGGCCGCGCGATGGCCTCGGCCGTCGCGCTCGCCGTCGCGAGCTCCAGCAGCATCTTGAGCCGGTCGAGGGCGCTGTCCGTGCCCTCGACGTCGCAGAGCAGCGTCAGCATCGCGAGCGGCCGCCGGAGGTGGATGCGCAGCACGCCGTCGTCCGATGTCTCCGCCTCGCCCGTCAGGTAGCGGCTGAAGTGGTCCATGGGCAGCGTCATGAACGAGCCCGTGACCGCGTTCTGGTGCTCGTAGTTGTTGAAGAGGTTGAAGTAGTGGCTCCGGTCCATGGCGCGGTCGTAGATCGTGCCGTGCTCCGCCTTGAGCTGCGCCATGGTCTGCTGCACGCAGTCGAGGCTCCAGTTCTCGTACTCCTCGCGGCCCGGGAAGAGCTCCCGGCTCACGACGGCGCCGCCCATGCTGCGGCCGCCGTCGACGCAACAGGCGACAGAGAGCCTGCCCAGATTGTGGCCCCGTCGGTTTTGCTTGTTCATTCACGTTGCAGTTCCAATATCGGGGTCGGGGACGCCCTCATTATTATTATTATGGGTGCTTTAACGTGGGACTAGGACGGCGGCCCGTCACTTCGCCTCGGCCTTGGGCTCGTCGCGGTCGGCGCGCGGCGCGAAGGCCGGCTCGGCCTTCGTCTCCTTGGTGCCGTCGTCCGTCGTGAAGGGGAGGAGGAGCTGGACGCAGTCGTCGTGGCGCGCGTCGAGCGCGATCTCGAGCGCGTTGAGCCGCCGGTCGTCGCGCATGTCGCAGTAGGCGCGCACGGCCTGCGGGCGACGGCGGTGTCAAAAACACAAGACGAGGTTCTTTTTTGCGCGACGCCGCGCACCCCACGGCGTCGCCGCCGAGCTCCGCGTCCGGCCCCGCGACGTACGAGTTCACGAACGACAGCAAGTCCGAGATGGACCGCGCGCGGCCTGGGCAGGGAAAGAGTGACTCAACGCCGCTTCAACATGAAGTTTCCGCGCGCGCGCGTTCCGGGAAAAGCATCCACGCTTCGAGGCCGTTCCGAGAGATGATCGCTCGTCCAAAAATCAGCCGAAACGAGTGGAAAACGGCCGAGAGAGGAGCCTTTGAATTGGGAATTTCGCTCTCTTTTCCTGCCCCGCGCGCGGCCCAGCTCCGCGGCGTGGTGCAGCAGCGTCCGCCGCAGGTCCGCGTCCCGCAGCACCACGGCCTCGACGTCCTCCAGGCCGCCCGCGGCCGCGTCGCCGCGGAGCCGGAACGCGCGGTCGCAGAAGAGGCAGTCGCGGAGCTCGAGCGCGCGCCGCTTGACGCCGTCGAGGTCGACGCGCGCGCAGAGCTCGCTGAGCTTGACCTCCACGCAGCCCTTGTCGTCGTCGCTCTCGTCGCCGAACGCGTCCGCGCCGAAGATCTCGGCCACGGGCACGGCGTCGCAGAGCTTCGCCTCGCTCTCCGGGATGGCCTCCGCGAGGACGGCCTCGCACACGGCGCCGTCGCTGAAGCGCGCCACGCACACGTCCTCGCCCTTGGCGTCGTAGCACTCCACGACCTCCGCCGACGCGTACATGGCGGCGCGGCGCGGCGGGGCAGCCCGCCTCCAGCCAGCTTGGAGGCGTTCAGCCCGTGTTCAAGCAAAGATTAAGAAGCAACTTCTTTGAGTTGATTTGTTCAAGCTAGCTCTTTTTGCCACTAAATGCGATGGGCTCACCGCAAGCGGGTGTAGCGTGGCCTCGGTGTAAGCAGTAGGCAACGCGACGCCGCCGTCAGCACCGGGGTAAACTCGGTTTAGCAGTGCGACGCCGCAGCGCGCCGCCGCAACAAGATGGCCGCGCAGGCCGACGCCGACGACAGCTTCTCGCAGATGAGCACGAAAGCTTTGAAGCGCATGCTCGAGGGTCTGGGCGTCTCCACGTCCACCTGCGTCGAGCGCGGCGACCTGCTGAAGCTCGCCGAAGGGAACGCGGGCGCCGCCGACGAGGGCGTCGACGCGCTCTACGCGCTGAGCGACCCCCACAGCGGCGACCGGACGAACATGCGCTACCTGAGCTCGCTGCCCGCGCGGCCGCGGAGCGCGTTGATCGTCGCCGGCGACGTCGACGACGACGTGCGGGTCCTGACGGAGACGCTGCGCGTCTGCGTTTCCAAGTTCGGCGGCGGCGTCTTCTTCACGCCGGGCAACCACGACTTGTGGCTCCTCGGGCGCGAGCGCGACTCGCTCGCGAAGCTCGACGTCGTCCTGAAGGCCGCCGAGGCCGCGGGCGCGTCGACGACGCGGAGGCTCCTGCGCGGTCGCGGCGGCGAGCGCTCCGTGCTGGTGATCCCGCTGCTGAGCTGGCACCACGCGTCCTTCGACACGGAGCCGGCCCTCACGTGCTGGGGCGGGCTGCCGACGGCGCGCCAGGCCATGAGCGACTACCACAACTGCGCGTGGCCCGCGCCGCTCGACGACGCCACGGAGTCCGTCGCGCGGCACTTCGACGCGCTCAACGACGACGCGCCCGCCGACGTCGACCGCGCGACGACGGCCGTCGTGACCTTTAGCCACTTCCTGCCGCGCATCGAGCTCATCCCGGAGAAGCGCTTCATGTTCCTGCCCTGCCTCGCGGAGTGCGTCGGGTCGCGGTTCCTGGGCGACCGCGTCGCGCGGCTGCGGCCCGACGTCCACGTCTTCGGGCACACGCACCTCGCCTGGGACGCGACGCTCGACGGCGTCCGCTACCTCCAGGGCTGCGTGGGCTACCCGTCCGAGTGGGCGACGCGGCCCGCGTCGCTGGAGATCGGGCGGCTGCGGTGCTGCCCCGTCGCGCCGGACGGCCGCGGGCGCGCGTGCGAGCTCGTCCGCGACGGCCCGCTCAAGGTCTGGGACGCGGCGGCGGGCCTCGCGGGCTACTTCGGCGCCAAGTGGAGCAAACACTACGAAAAGTACCCGCGGCGGCCCGACGTGACGCACGTCCTGCCGCCCTACTCCGCCGCGCGGTACGCGCCGCTACCGGGAGCCGAGGTCCGCGACGTGTGCGACCACGTCCCGCCCTTTTGCACCTAGCCTTACTCCTGCTCGAGGGTCGCGTTCTCGACCGTCGCCGGGTCCGCGGGGACGAAGTCCGGGTCCGCCTTCGTCTTGCGCGGCGCGCCCTTGGGCTTGACGCGGACGTCGTCGACGTAGGCCGTCGTGTACAACGCGCAGGAGATCCAGATGATGCCGTCCTCGACGCCGCTCTTGTCCTGCTTCTTCACTTTGCGGAAGATCTCCAGGCACTTGAGCATGGCCAGCTCGACGTCCGTCGCCGCGAACTTGGAGCCCCGCGCCATCCGCGCGAGGTAGTTCTTCTCCATGCCTGGGCAGCACAAGAGTGATTCAACGTCGCTTCAACGTGAGTGTTCCGCGCGCGCGCGTTACGTAAAACACATCCACGCTTCGAGACCGTTCCGAGAGATGATCGCTCGTCCAAAAATCAGCCGAAACGAGTGGAAAATGGCCGAGATCGGAGCCTTTGAAGTTGGGAATTTCGCACTCTTGTGCTGCCCTGCTCCATGCGGTGCGCCGCGTCGAAGTAGGACGGGATGCCCTTCTCGAAGTCCTCGGGGATCAAGCCGTCGGTCATGCGCTTCATGACGTCGCAGAACGCCTCGCCCTTGCGCTTGCGGGGCTTGACCATCTCGCGTTTCAGGTACGGGATCTGCTGCGTGACCATCTCGATCGGCGGCTCGTCGTCCTCCGTGTCCGTCATGAACATGCGCTTCCACTCCGGGTCCTCGTCGTCGTTCTCCGACGGCCAGAGGCAGCGGTACGCGTTGCCCGCCGCGTAGGCCGGCGTGCCGTCGGGGAACTCCGCCGCCGGGTAGGTGCCGCCGGGCGGGCGGTAGATCAGCGCCTCGGGCGTCTTCAGCTCGCCGTCCTTGTCGAAGTGGAGGCTCCGGTCGATCTTGAAGTCCGAGTCGAAGTCCGCCATGGTTGCGGCGTTCGTTCGGCGCTGGGGCGGGCGCTTTCCGACGACGCCGGGGCTGCCCCAGACGCCGAGCTGAGACTGCAACTTGCTGTCGTAAGCTGAAGGAGCCGCTGGCGAGGACCGATGGCTGCCTCACCGAAGCCGCCACCACAGGCCGCGGACTTATCACACAAGCCGCCACCACCACAGACCACAGACATGCAGCAACCCGGCGCGTGCTTCGTCGAGGCGCGCGCGCGCGCCATGGCGCGCCTCCACGACACGTCGCTCGACAAGGCGCCGGCGGGCGGCGTCGACGTCGCCGCGCGGCCGCTCGTCGCCGCCGTCAACGCGCACGCGCGCTACTTCACGACGTCGACCTGCGCCGGCCGCTGCGCCGTCTACGCGTCGCCCGCGGGCCGCGGCGACCAGAAGCGGCGCGGCAAGTGGCTCTTCATGAGCCACGACGGCGTAGCTTCGGCGGACGTCGCGCGGTGCCTCGACGCCATCGCCGCGGAAGCGAAGCGGAGCGGCGAGGCCTGGACCTGCGCCCTCAAGTACGAGCCGCCCATCGCCCACGTGCGCTGCGCGTCCCTGGACGCGGCGAAGCGGCTCCTCGTCGTCGCCGTCGGCTGCGGCTACCGCGAGAGCGGCTGCACTTTGACGCCCGGCGCGCCGGCCGTCGCCGTGCGGTCCGTCGGCGGCGCCATGGACGCGCCCCTCGGCGCCTGGTCCGCGGACGGCGGGCGGGGCGTCGCCCGGGGCGACCAGCTCGACCTCTGGACCGAGGACGCGCGGGCCCGCCTCGCGGCGGACCGCGAGAAGCTCGCGAGGTTGGTCGCCGCCGTCGAGCGGGACCTCGCGGGCGGCGACGGCGCGGCGGCGACGACCTGCGCGGCGGTCGTCGTCGACAAGGCGCGGGCGAAGGCGGTCAAGGTCGCGCTCGAACTTCGCGGCGCGTTCCGCAAGGCCTTCAACGTGACGCCGCGCGACGGCGGGCTGGCCGTGCCCTGCTCCGACGACGGCGCGGACGCGCTCGAGATGGAGGACCACCCCCTCCGCGCCGCCGTCGTCGACGCGCTGGACGGGGACGCGCTCGTCGTGGTCCGCGCGGTGGCGCTTCCGGCGGCGAAGCGCTTCCGCGAGAAGCGGGGCGGCCCGTCGCTCGCGGATGTGGTCAAAAGTCGGTGCCCCGGCTTCCACCCGGGCAAGTGGACGCGCCTCGGGGGCGACGCGCTGCTCGTGCCCGCGGCGCTGCCCGCGGCGGACGACGACGTCGAGTTCTGGGACGCGGTGGCGACGGCCGCGGGCTGCGCCAAGGTCTTCCGCGACGCCGAGGTCGCGCCGGACGGGATTCGGAGCTCGAACCGGACGCTGCTCCGGGGGCCGGGCGGCGCCGACGACGCCTGGGTGGCGATCCGCGAGGGCGGCGTCGTTTACGGTTTCGACGCGACGGCGACCATGTTCGCCAAGGGCAACAACACGGAGCGCATGCGCCACGGGACCTTTGCGTGCGCCGGCGAGACCGTCGTCGACCTCTACGCGGGCATCGGCTACTTTTCGCTGCCTTTGTTGATCAAGGGCGGCGCGGCCTTCGCGCACTGCTGCGAGTGGGCGCCGAGGACGGCCGAGGCCCTGCGGCGGAACCTGATTGCGAACGGCGTCGACGCATCGCGCTACGCGGTCCACGCGGGCGACAACGCGGCGGCGGCGCCGAAGCTCGCGGGGCTCGCGGACCGCGTGAGCCTCGGCCTCACGCCAACGAGCCGCGCGGGCTGGCCCCTCGCGTGCCTCGTGCTCAGGGACGCGGGCGGCGTCTGCCACGTCCACGAGAACGTCAAGGTCCGCGGGGACGGGGCGGCGGCGGACCGCGCGGAGTTCGACGCGTGGGGCGCCGCCGTCGCGGCCGAGTTCGCGCGGCTGTTCGCGGCCGCGGGCCGGGGCGCCTGGGCCTGCGACTGCGCCTTCGTGTCGCGGGTCAAGGACTACGCGCCCCGCGTCCACCACCTCGTCGCCGACGTCGTCTGCCGGCCGCCGAGGCCAAGTCCGAGGCCTTCGTAAAACAGTTTCTTGAAGATTTTCTTGAAGAATTTCTTGAAGGGTTATCAGGGGAAGCTGATCCTCCCCCCGGGCCGTGGGCCTTCGGCCCCTGCTGGGGGGCAGCTGCCCCGCCTACTTCAACTTCTTCCGTCCGGGACCTATAGGCCGTGTGTGCTCTTGTGCATGCGGCTTCTCCGACGCTAAATAAAGAATAATAATAATAATTATCAAGTGTCTTTGCTGAAACTTCAAGGTCAGTGCATCGTGCCCTTTTAAACGTCGAGGCTGCCCCGCTCAGGCTCCGAAGGATGGACGTCAGGTCGTCGCGGAGCACGCTCTTCGGCCTGGGCTTCTTCTCGCTGGGCTACTTCGTCAGCGAAGCCGTGCGCATCTACCTCAGAAAGCGGAAGCCGCCGAAGGCGATTACGGCGTCCGTCTGCGACGAGTGGACCCTGACGCTGGAGACGGCGCGCGAGCTCGACGAGGCGGGCGGCGGCGCGCGGCGCGGGGCCCTGCCGCGGGACGCGCAGGCGTCGCGGCTCGCGGAGCTGGCCGCGATGGCGCTCGCGACGGTCTCGGAGACGGCGCGCGCGGTGCGGGAGCTCGGCGCCCGCGGCGACGACGCCGCGGACCTGACGCGGCTCTGCGCGACGGCCCTCGAGACCGTGTCCCTGTCCGCGCGGCGCATCGCGGCGAACGCGGCGACGCCGCCGCGGCGCCGGCGGCGGCCGCCCGCGGACGAGGCGCCGCTCGAGCCTTCGAGGAAAAGCTCATCGCGAGCCTCCACGACCGCGTGAGCGAGGACCTCTCCGAGTCCCTCGGCCCGCCGGACGGCCGCGCGTCGCCCGACGTCTGGGCCTGGACCGTCCAGGAGCTCGGCCACGACGACGACGGCGCGCACGCGGCGGTCGACGTGGACGCGGCGACGTCATAGCCTGCCTTGTGTTACCAGCCGAGTACGTGGGCGCGTAGGAGCGCCGGCCCCATGTGTTACCAGCCGAGCGGTTCGCCGCGCATCGTGCGACCTAGTGTGTTACCAGCCGAGCAGTTCGCCGCGCATGACCGGCGCGCAGCTCCCGCCGATGCGCACGGCCGTCGGCGTCGCGTCGCCGAGGAGCTCGCTCGGCCGGCCCATCTCGACGCCCTGGGAGATCACGGCGGACGCGGTTCCGTCCGGCGCGAGGCTCGCGAGCAGACCGACGAGCGCGCAGTTCGCCGAGCCCGTCCCCGCGTCCTCGCTCCCGTCGGACCGGTGCATGCGGCAGCGGATCGTGTCGTCGTCGCCTCTCACGTAGCATAGCACCTTCCGCGGCCCCGCCTCGGGCAAGTCGCCCGACGCGAGGGCCCGCGCGAAGCCGTCCGGCGCGCCGCGCGACCGGCCGAGCGCGACGAGGCTGTCGAGGCTCGCGATGATAAACGGCAGGCCGCACGTCGCGACGAGCGGCGGGTGCCGCGCCTCGTCGACGTCCGCCGCGTCGAGGCCGAGGCAGGCGGCGACCGCCGCCGCCGGCAGCGACGGCTCGAGCACGGAAAAGGGCTCGGGCGCCGTGAGCATCGCGCCCGTCGCCATGCCGTCCAGGTAGAACCGCAGAATCTCCACGGGCACGATCCCCGCCTCCTCCTCGAGCCGCACGGATTCCTTGATGCGCGCGCCGAAGGCCTGGCCGCGCCACGCGAGCGACGTCGCGACGCCGACGTTGGGGTGCCCGGCGAACGGCATTTCGGCCGTCGGCGAGAAGATGCGCACGCGCGCCGTGTTCCGCGGGTCCTTGGGCGGCAGCACGAAGGTCGTCTCCGAGTAGCCGAATTCGGCGGCGACATGCTGCATGTCTATGTTTGTCAGTCGTTGTTCTAGATCATAGACGACCGCCAGCGGGTTGCCGCCGAAGCGGCTCGAGGTGAAGACGTCGAGCGTCTCGTAGGCGATGGTGCGCCGCCGCTGCGGCGCAGCGGATGCAGCGCGGCGCAGCGCGGTTGCACAGGTAATCATGTTTTATGGGGTGGCGTCGTTTGCCTCGGCTAGCAAGCTTTATGCACGGTCCATCGGCACGAGCTGCACCGTGAGGATCGGCTTCTCATCCCCTTCTCGTTGAACCTCGCTCGAGGTCGAGCGAGGTCGAGCGTGCTTCCGTGGCCTCTCGATCCAGGCCCTCAAACTGCGACTACGTAATCGTCGTCGCTCCGAGTTGAAACTATGCAGTCCCTCCTCCTCCTCTCCCTCGCTCCGGCGCTGGCGCTGCGGCCGGCGCCGCAGGTCACCCGCCGCCAGGCGCTCCGCCGCTCGTCCTCGCCGATGCAGATGTCGGCCGTCATGGACGCCCCGATCACGTACGTCGTCGTCGGCGGCGAGCAGGTGGGCGTGAAGAAGGCGGCGAAGTTCGACACGTCGAACATGCCCGTCACCGAGGCGGACGTCCTCGCCTGCCAGGAGGCCTGGGCCGGCGCCATCGTGGCCGCGAGCGCGATCTACGCCGACGGCGGCGACTACATCGGCGCGGCCGCGGGCGCGGCGAACGAGCTCTACGGCTACGGCTTCACGAAGGTGCTCTTCAAGCCGACGAAGGCGGCCGAGTACCCCTTCCGCGCCACGGGCAAGGACGCCATGTCCTACTTCGTCGGCGGCAGCGTCATCGAGGGCGGCTACGACGAGGACGCGGGCTTCGCGATCAACGGCGGCAACGGCTGGGAGAAGGTCGTGTTCCACAACCACGGCGTCGACCTCAACGGCCCCACGGCCACGGCCATGGGCTACTACATCTTCACCGACGCCACGACCAAGGCCGAGGTCCGCGTCGAGTACACGTTCGGCTACAAGCGCTGCTCCGACGGCAAGGTCCGCATCTACCTCCACCACTCGTCCGTGCCGTACTCGTCCGCGCCCGCGGCGTCTTCCGGCGTCGCGGCGATGACGCAGGCGGAGGTGCTCGACTGCCAGGCCAAGTGGGCCAACGCCATCAAGACGATCTCGAAGACGTACGCCGACAAGGGCGACTACGTCGGCGCCGCCGCGGACGCCGCGGGCGAGCTCTACGGCTACGGCCACTCCCAGGTCCTCTTCAAGCCCACCAAGGCCGCCGAGTACCCCTTCCGCCCCACGGGCGAGGAGGCCATGTCCTACTTCGTCGGCAACAACGCCGTCGAGGGCGGCTACGCCGAGGACGCGGGCTTCGCCATCAACGGCGGCAAGGGCTGGAAGGACGTCGTCTTCACGAACCACGGCATCGAGCTCATCGGCCCGTCCGCCATCGCCATGGGGTCCTACGTCTTCACCTGCGCCACGACGGGCGACAAGTCCAAGGTCGAGTACACGTTCGGCTACAAGCGCAACGACGACGGCAAGCCGCGCATCTTCCTCCACCACTCCTCCGTGCCCTACGCCGCGTGAGCGCGAGCGCCGCCCCCGGGTCCGAGCCACCACAAGTAAGGAGCGACCCATCTCCGAACGTGGCGAGCTACCGTGGCGTTCCTCGCCGCGCGCCGTCGCCGCGATGTGCCAGGCAGGCCGGGGCGGGGCACGCCTTTCGTTAAAGGGGGGGGGAGGGAGACACCTCCACTAGTCGTCCCACTCGGAGTCGGACACCTCGCCGCCGTCGACGACCTGCGCGTCGACGCCCGGCTTCGCGCCCATGGAGCGGTTGACGTTGAACTTCTCGTACTGGGTCGCGAGGCGCGAGAGGTTGTCCATGGCGGCGTCGTCGTTGTCGCGCTCCTGCTTCTCCGTGGAGAGGCGGTCGTTGACGAGCTCCGTGTTGAGGACCTTGCGCTCGACGACGCGCTCCGAGAGGAGCGGCGGGTTCGACGACGGCCGGCGGCTCGCGAGGACGGGCGGCGCGTCCTCGCCGCCGGCCCAGGACTCGGCGTCCATGGACGACATGCGCGCGCGCGTCTCCCGGAAGAGGTCGTCGTTGAAGTATTCCTTGAGCTCCGCGGTCCGCGGGACGGAGAAGCCGACGGTCTCGACGGTCGTCGTCGTGAGCCGGAGGAACTTGATGACCTCCAGCGCCATGACGTCGCAGGCCGACTTGGGCAGCGCGCAGACGCCGCAGTGGGGGCCCGCGCCGGACGCCGTGCGCCAGTCCTGGCCCGCGTCGAACGCGTCGGCGGCCGTCGCCGCGGCCGCGTCGACCTCGTAGTGCTTCGCCGACGTGTCCCCGCGGCCCCAGACCCAGAGGACGCTCGAGTCCTCGTCGTAGACGGGCATGAGCTCGCCCGTCTGCGCGTCGACGAGCTTCCGGAAGACGGGGCCCTCGGACGCCTTGCGCGCGTCGAGCAGGCAGACCTCGCGGCCGCCGCGCTGGGCCGAGCCCGCGCTGAGCACGGCGTGTCCGGGCCCGCCCCAGAGCGCCGTGAAGGCGCGGGACCCGCCGTGGGGCTCGCAGCGCCAGCCCTCCGCGCCAGTCCGCGCGTCGAAGAGCCGCAAGGTGCGGTCGCGGCACGACGCGAGGTAGGTCGCGCCGTCGTAGGACCACTCGACGGCGTGGACCGCCGCGTCGACACTAGTGCCCGCGATCTTCTTCTGGGACGCCACGTCCCAGAGGCAGCACTCGCTCGCGCCCGCCGAGAGCAGCAGACCCTCCGCGGACGGGTGCCACGCGAGCTCGCGCGCGCCGCCCGCGTGCGCGCCCACGGTCGTCGCCTCGACGTCGCAGTAGCGGTGTTCCAGGGCGCCCGCGACCTGGAAGACCTTGACGTAGGAGTCGTCGGACGCCGTGCAGAGCAGGCCGTCGTCGAAAGGACTAAACGCGCAGCGGTGCACGGCCGCCTTGTGGCCGACGACGCACCGCTGCGGCGCCTCCGTGGGCTCCATCTTGCCCACGGCGTCGATCTTCGACACGAGCACGGGGCCGCCGCCGCCGGAGGCGTAGGGGATGGCCCAGTAGGCCGCGGAGCAGGCCACGCCGGGCGACGCGCTCGACGGCTTGAGGTTGTAGACGCAGTCGTGGTTGATCTGCTCGAGGGCGCTCAGGAACTTGTACTTGCGCTTCACGCCCGACTCGAAGCGCACGGACGGCCGCGACGCCACCTGCGACGCCATGGCTGCCCTGCGGCGCGGTCGGTGGTCCACGCTCGAGGACCTCGGCCGCGCCGGGAGAGGCCGTGCAGCCGTGATGAAGTCGATATTTCCCATTGCACGCCGCCATGCACTTCGCGATGCGTCTTGGCATGCGTCACAGTATGCGCCACATGCGCCACATAAAACACCACAAGCGCCACCGAAGGGGACTAGAGTTCGCCCCGCGGATCCTCGCCCGCGCCGCGCGGTAGGCGCCGGAGCGCGCGGAGGAGCGCGCGGCGCTCGAGGCGCATGACGACGGCGGCGTCGCGGTCGAGCGCGTCGGCCGCGGCGGCGCCGGCCGCGAGCGCCGCGTCGGGCAGGAGCGCGTCGGCGCGCGCGGCGAGCGCCGTCGCCGCGAGGCGCGCGCCGTCGTCGCTCGCCGCCGCGAACGCGAGCAAATCCGCCTCGTCGCCCGGCACGGAGTAGGTGACGCCCCGGACGACGACGTCGGAGCAGCCCGGCGCCCAGACGCCGAGCGCGTTCTCGGCATTGTCGTCCGGCGGCGCCGCGCTCGCGGCGACGAGGTCCTCGGGCACGAAGCCGTAGGTCGTGACCCAGTCCATGGGGCACGCGGACTGGAACGAGTAGTTGTGGAAGAGCTCGCCGCCGCGGTAGCCGTCCTGGAAGTACTCGACGGAGCCGTCGTCGTAGCGCAGCGTGACGAAGCGCCGCGAGTGCCGGGGCGCGCCGTGGTTGATGATGTCCCAGAAGGGCACGAGCGAGTAGCCCAGGCGGCCGCCCAATTCGACGGCGCGGTTGAGCACCGTGAAGAGCGCCCAGAGCGCGACGCGGCGGCACCGGTCGACGTCGAGCGACGCGTTCCCGCGGCGGAACGCGCCCGCGACCATGGACGCGAACTCGAGGTTGTCGCCGGCCACGGCCGCGAGGCGCCGCGACGCGTAGGACGACGCGTGGTACGCGGCCTTGGCGCGGCGCGCGGCGACGACGTAGGCCGCCTCGCCGCCGAGGGCGCCGCGCGCGACGGCGTAGGCCGGGCTCGTCGGCTCGCCGAGCGTGTCCGTGTAGGGCGCCCAGCGCCCGCCGCGGAGCACCTCGTGCGCGAGGAACGCGCCGAGCACGTTGAGCCGGTTGTCCGCGGAGAAGCCCGCGTCGAAGTCGGCCGCGTTGCAGTCGACGTTCGTGATGCCGAGCGCCAGTTGAAACGAGTCCGACGCCACGAGGTCCGCGCAGGACATGAGGACCGACGGCGGCAGGAAGAAGAGCAGGTCGGCGCAGCCGTCCTCGCAGGCCGGCGCCGCGAGGCCGCGGCCGTGGCCGGGGAAGTGGCGCGAGGCGATGCGCGACACGTCGGCACCCTGCGCCGTGGCCCAGGCCCAGAGCCGCCGCTGCGCCGCGTCGTCGTCGGCGCCGGCCGCCGCGACGAGAAGCGCGAGGATGCGCATTGCGGTCTTTGCTCCGCGCTGGATCTTTAGCGCAGCGTCCATCGTCCAGCGGGCTGCTACGTCGGCTTCGCTCGCTAAAAACGCGGAGCTGAGCTCAGCCGAGTGGCAGCTCTCCTGCAGCCTCGTTGACGAGTGGCAGCTCTCCGCCGCGTGGGACAGCCTCGCGTTGAATGCGCCCGCTGCGGTCACTGCTCCTCCTCCTCTGCTGCGGCTCCGCGATGGCGATCCAGCGCGCGCGCGCCGGCCTCGACGAGCTCCTCGCCGCGAAGCGCGCGCTGCCGTTCCAAGTATTAACGGGCGGCGACGCGGCCTTCCTCGAGCGGCACGACGCCTTCGTCTTCGACTGCGACGGCGTGCTCTACAGCGGGTTGGAACTCCTCGACGGCGCCGCGGCGGCCGTCGCCGCGCTCCGAAGCGCCGGCAAACGCTGCCTCTTCGTGACGAACAACAGCGGGAAGTCGCGGCGGACGATGGCCGCGAAGCTCGGCGCTCTGGGCCTGGCGGCGACGCCGGAGGAGTGCGTGCCCGCGAGCTTCGCGACGGCCGCGGCGCTCGCGGCGCGCGGCGTCACGCGCGCCTTCGTCGTCGGCGCCGACGGGCTGTCGGAGGAGCTGGAGCTCGCGGGCGTCGAGGTGTTGAAGGCCGGAGCGACGACGGAGCCCTTCTCCGAGGCGGCCTTCGAACGCGTCGTGCTGGAGGGCGAGGCGGTCGGCGCCGTGGTCGTCGGCATGGACGCGACGTGCGATCTACGAACGTTGGCCCTCGCGTCGCTGCATTTGCAGCGCGACGAGCGCTGCCTCTTCGCGTCGACGAACCCGGACGCCTTCGACGTCGTCGGCGGCCGCCGCATGCCGGGCAACGGCGCGCTCGTGGCGGCGCTCGCGACGGCGTCCGGCCGCGGCGCCCCGGATTTGACCTGCGGCAAGCCCGCGGCGGCGCTCGCGGAGTCGCTCGTGTCCACCTTCGGCCTCGACCCGGCCCGGACCGTCGTCGTCGGCGACCGCGTCGACACGGACATGGCGCTGGCGGGCCGCATGGGCTGCGCGGGCCTGCTGGTCCTCACGGGCTGCGCGACGGCGGCGGACGCCGCGGCGCTGGCGCCGGGCTGCGCGACGACCTTTGTCGCGTCGCACCTCGGCGCCTTGGCGGGGCCCGGGGCTTTGGTGGGCGAGCCGTGGACGGCCGCGCCGGACACCGTCGACGGCGTCCTCGACGCGCTCCACGCCGCGGCCGCGCGGGCCGACGCGGACGCGTACTTGGCCCTCGTGTCTTCCGATTTCGTGTTCCTCGGCACGGACGCGACGGAGCGCTGGGACCGCGCGGCCTTCGAGGCCTACGCGCGCGGCCGCTTCGAGAAGGGCAACGGCTGGGCCTACGAGGTCCTGTCGCGGCGCTCGACGGCGCGCGGCGACGTCGTCTTCTTCGACGAAGATTTGGCGAACGCGAACCTGGGCGCCTGCCGGTCGACGGGCGTCCTGGTGCGGGACGGCGGCCGCCTGAAGGTGGCCCAGTACTCCCTCTCCGTGCCGATCCCCAACGACCTGTGCTTGGACGTCGTCCGCCAGATTCGGGCGCGCGACTAAAGGTAGAGTTTTACGACGCCCCTGAAGGGGCCGTCGCAGCCGGACGGACACCGCTTGAAGTCCGTGGCGCAGACGTCGCAGTACATCGCGTGGCCGCAGGGCAGGCACGCGACCCGGTGCCGGCCGTCGGGGTTGGCCTTGGACTTGAAGTCCTCGTAGCAGATCGCGCACTCGAACTCGCTGAGGCGCTGCCGCGTCTCGCTGTCCGCGGCGCGCTTCTCGAGCGCCGCGAGCCGCTTCGCGCGCGCGTCGGCCTCGGACTCCATCCGCTTCACCGCCTTGCTCTTCGGCCGCTCGCCCTCCGGCGGCGCCGCGGCCTCGCGCTTTTGTGCGGCGGGCGCCGCGGTCGGCGCGCGACCGTTACCCAGCGTCTGCCTGGTCGGCGCGCTGCTGCTCGAGGCGCGGCCGTTGCCCAGGGTCTGCGCGCCGCCACTCAAGGCGCCGCCGCTGGAGATGCGCACGCCCGCGGGCTTGCGGCCTCCCTTCTTGGGGAGCTCCCGTCCCGGCGGCGCCGTCATGCGCACGCCGCCCTTCTTGCCGATGCGTTTCGTGCGGTCGTCTGCCATTAGGGCTTGTCGGAGCACGACTCGACGCCCATGCTCTCCCACTTCTGGCCGATGGTGCACCGCTCTCCCACGGCAATCAAGCGCGATGGCGCCCTCGAAACGCGCCGCCAAGGGCGACTCGGAGGAAGAGGAGGAGTCGTCGTCCGACGAGGAGGAGGTGGGCGTCGAGGAGGCGGGCGTGGAGCTCCACGAGCAGCTCGAGGAGGAGGGCCTCGAGGACATCGACTTCGACTTCGACGACCCGCAGGAGCGCCACTTCCACGCGATCCGCGGCCTGCTGCGCCAGTCGCCGGCGACGGCCCTGGCGAGCGACGTCGAGCTGTCCGCGCTCGCGGACCTGCTCGCGTCGGACCCAAAGTCCGTGGGCACCGTCGTCGGCTCCGGCGGCGGCGACGAGCTCGTGGGCTTCGTCGCGGGAGTGCAGCTCGGCGAGTACGAGCCCAAGGCCAACGCGGGCGTCGACGCCCTCGTCCGCGCCGCGACGAAAACGTCCGCCGGCGGCCGCCTGCTCGTGGCGGCCCACGCGTTCTTCGTGAACACGCCGCCGAAGGTCGTCGCCGCCGCCTTCGATCTCTTCGCCAAGGACCTCGCGGCGCTGAGCTACGACCGCGTCCTCGTCGCCGTCAAGACGTCGGCGCCCGCCGGTGCGCCCGGCGCGCCGGCGAAGAAGAAGAAGAAGCAGCAGGCGAAGGAGTGCGACCGCTTCGAGGACGACGCGTTCGCGAAGCGCGCGGCATCGGCCGTCGACGTCGGGCCCCAGGCGACGCTCCTCGTGCTCGCGCCGGACGCCTACGCCGCCGCCGTCGCGGAGATCGCCGCGCTCGCCGCCCAATAAGAAAGGTTAACATATCCCGCCGGCGCCGTTTAACACATCCCGCCGGCGGGATATGTTAAGTTAGTTCGCGTATGTACAAAAAAGCCCCCCTATGTTCACTCGGCGGCGAGCCTGACGAGGCCGAAGTTGCCGCCCGTGCCCGGGCGGCCGAGCGTGCCGCTGTCGACGTAGACCGCGAAGCCGCCGTCGCGCGCGGTCACGACGAACTCGCCCGCGTCGTTGATGCACTCCGCCGACGCGTCCGTGAGGTTCGCCGCCCACAGCGTTTTGCCGTCGGCGTCCGTCTCGTAGAGGTAGGCGTCCCAGGCGGCCTCGTGGCAGTCCATCCACTTCGGCGGCGCCTCGGGCCCGTTCCCGCAGGTGACGACGAAGCCGCCCGCGGGCGCGTTGTCGACGCCGTAGCACTCGACGTTGTAGTCCCGGGTCTCGCGGTCCTTTTGCCGCGCGTCGAAGACCTGGGCGCCGTCGCCGCCGCGGGCCTTCAGGAGCCGGCCGACGGGGTTGTAGAAGTCGTCGTTCGCGGACGGCACGGCCAAGCCCGCGATGACGACGTCGCCCGCGGGCGAGAGGACGAGCGCGTAGGGGTGCGACGCGTGGAGGCCCGCCTCGTAGATGCGCGCCCACTTCAGCGCGCCCGTCGCGTCGTCGACGGCCATCGCGGAAAAGTGGAAGCCGTAGTTCTCGTCGAAGGGGCCCGTGGACGACGCCGCGGACACGACGACGCTCCCGTCCGAGGCCCCGTGGCCGTGGAAGACGCGCATGCCCTGCATGGGCTGGAACTTGTCCGAGACGTTGAGCGCCACGTGGAAGAGCGTCTCCGGGTCCGCGCCGACGGCGCGGTCGCCGAACTTGAGCTTCGCGGCGAACGCGAGGCCGCCGTAGAGCAGGAACATGGGGTCCTCGTCGTACGTTTTGCCGTCCCAGCCGCTGTCGCCGCCCTGGAAGCCCGTCGCGAAGACGGTCATGGGATCGTCGATGGCCGGCGTCGCGCACATGAAGCCGTCGCGCGCGCCGTCGAGGCGGCCCTCGTTCTCGAAGACGGTCTCGGATATCGTCGAGCCGTCGGTCTCGTCGAGGCGCCAGAGCGCGCGGCTCTCGACGTAGGGGAAGCCCCGCTTCTTGGCCGCCTCCTCGACAACAGATTTGACGCCGGCGACCAGCACCGTGCCGTCGGAGAGCTGCGTGCCGTACTTGCCGTAGTTAAAGCCTGCGGCGGGCGGCGCGGTGGCGCGCCGCGGGACGGAAGCGGCGGCGCACCTCGGTCGCCGAGCACGCGCGTCCAGCGCTCGGTGCCGTCGCGCTCCGTCGCGACGACGAAGACGGCGCGGTCGTAGGCCGCGCTGCCGTCCCAGCACACCGAGTCGCCGACCATCAGCCAGCCGCCGTCCGCGAGCTCGACGCCCGCGTGCGGGTGCGCCTCGCAGTTGCTGTTGTTGTAGCCGGCCGTGAACGCGACCTTGGGCACGGCCGCATTGCCGCCGGCCGCCGCAGCGGCGGCGAGGCAGCCCACGGCTCTCAGGAATACGATCATCTTGGAACAAAACCAAACGAGCCAATCAGAATCGAAGGCTAATCGGGCACAGGTTACCGCGCGACGTACTCCACGGCGTCGTCGACCATGGCCTTGCCCGAGGCCTCGGCGTTCGTCGCGTTGCCGATGAGCGTGAGCGGGTAGCCCTGGGCCGCGCAGTGGGGCCACTCGAAGGTGTCGTAGACGTAGGGCGTGGGCGAGTTGCCGTCCGTCGGGTCGAACGCGGCCCAGAGCATCGCGTTCGTGTAGGGCCCCGCGGCGCCGTCGGCGAACAAGTCGTCGCCCCAGACGAGCGTGTCGTTGAGGTTGTGGCCCCAGCAGTAGCCCACGTCCTCGAAGGACACGGACCGCGCCATGTCGTCCGTCCACGTCTCGTCGGAGAAGCCGTTGATGCGGCGCCAGTGGTAGAGCCGGTCGACGGTCGGGTGCGTCGGGTAGAAGCTGATGTCCAGCGGCGACGCCGACTCCAGCGAGTCGCCGATGGACGGCGCGAGGTCGTCGCCGACGTTGCAGAGCGCCGATAGGATCGCCTCCGAGACGTCGGCGCCGCGGCGGTTCGTGAGGTAGAGGTCGTCCGCGAAGATGGGCGACACGGACAGCAGGATGCCCGCGGCGCGGTCCTCGTCGAGCCAGGTCTGCAGATTCGTGCAGGCGCACTTGCAGTCGTTGACGGGCGCGTCCGCCGAGCAGCCCGTCGGGCAGTCGAGCTGCCCCGCGCGCCACAGGTTCTTCTGCGTCGCGAAGGCCTCGAGGGCGATGTTCTCCGCGGGGATGGCGCGCATGCCCAGGCCCAGTAATTTCGCTTGCAGGTCGGCGCCCGTGACGCCGCCGATCATCGCGTGGACGGTGCCGTGCGCGTTGTACTGGACGTCGACGCCGAAATCGGACCACGCCGTCGTCTGCATGACGGAGTAGTGGTCGGCGCAGGACGGCACGTCGCTCAGGGAGAACCCGAAGGTCGTGTTCGCGCGCGTGAGGTAGGGCACCTTGTTCACGTTCCAGGGCGCGCGGATCAGGCCGTACGCGTTCGCCGTGTCCGAGGGCGACGCCCTCGCGACGGCCGTGTAGGCCCAGCGCCCCGCGTTCACGACGTGGCCCTCGGGCTGGGCGTCGCCGAACCAGTCGTCCCGGAACACGGGCGACCGGCGCCAGGCGGCCATGTCGCCCGCGAGTGCGACGTCGTGGGCCTCGATCGTGTAGTCCCAGTAGGGCACCGACACCTTGGGATCGACGCTCTGGAGCGCGCGCTCGAAGCGCAGCGTGAAGGCCGCGTGCTGGGGCAGGAACCCTAAACCGTCGTGGAAGTGGTCGCAGGTCCGGTCGCCGCTGAGCTCGTTGTGCGTCGCGATGAAGTAGGCCGCGGATTTGTACGCGCGGCCGTACGCCCGGGCGCCCTCGGCGTCCGGCGTCGCGTAGAGCACGCCCGCCGCGGTGAAGAACGCCTCGCGGTCGTCGTCGCTGAGGCTCCGGATCTCCCGGCGCACGTACCGACAAACGACGCGCGACGCGTAGGCCCGCGTCCGCGTCTCGAGCCAGACCGCGTGCTCGCCGACGGCGTCGAAGGTCCGCGCCGTCTCCTCGCCGACGGCGTGCGCGCCGTCGACCATCCAGGTCACGGCCTCGCCGTTGTGGTTCACCGCGTAGAGCGTCGTCTCGCGGAAGGGCTCGACGAGCACCTCGCCGTCGAGCCAGGGGTAGCCGACGCCCGCGGTCGTGGCGTAGGAACCCCGCGCGCCGAAGCGGAGCGGCGCCGCCGCCTCGAGGCGCAGGGCGCCGCCCGCCGACGACGCCGGCCGCCGCAGGAGGCAGGCCAGGCCCAAAGCGCCGACGACGGCGCCGGCGAGGGGCTGCCACGGCCGGGCTGCGCCCATCTCGTCGAGCACACTCGATTTTGGGAGATACGAAGGCGATGGTGCACAACACGATGCAGTTTTTTCTCGGACTCGCAAGTTGACGAGAGGAGGAGCGCTCTCGATCTCCGCTCATCTTTTAGACTGGGATGGGCGGCGGCGGCGCCGGCGCCGGCGGCGGGTTCGAGACGTGGTAGGGCTTCGAGGACGGCGCGAGCGCGTGGACGTGCGCGTTTCGCCCGCCGACGACGCCCGCGCGGTAGCACGCGGCGCAGCGGCAGTAGTCCGCGGGGCAGACGGCGCACTCGTAGCGCGTCGCGTCGTCGGGGATGGGCGCCTGGCACTCGTCGCAGAACCACTCGAGCACCGTCTCGTACGCGCCGTCGCCGTCGCCGCCGCCGTCGTCCGGCGGCGCGGGCGACGGCCAGGCCTCGCCCCAGAGCCGCTTCTTCGCGTTCGCGTTGCGGTGCGCCGTCGTCGGGATGTTGAACAGCGGCGTCACGGCCTTGCGCGACACCGTGGTCAGCTGCGCGAACTGGAACCCCGACGACGGGGGCGCGGGGGCCGGCGCGGCGCCGGCGCCGTCGAGGTGCTGCACTAAATTCTCTTTCCATCGCACGCGCTTGCAGGTGCGCCCGCCGCCGCCGCTCGCCGCCGTGCGTAGCGCTGACTTCGGCTTCGCCGGCGCCATTTGGGCCGGCGGCGGCTGCCGCTTCGGAGAGCGCCTCGGCAAGCTCTTGCCACACCGCATCACCGCCTCCACCGCCGTCACCGTCGCCTCCGGCAGCCGCGCCGCCCCACGCAGCGCGATGGAGGAGGAGGCGCTGAATCACGAGTGCATCAGCCCGCGGAAGGCCCCGGCGCCGGCCCCCGAGGTCGTCGGCGGCGACCTCACGCGGTCCGAGATCGAGGCGCTCTACGCCGCGACGACGTCCGCCGCCGGCGCCCTCGCGCCGGCCGTCGACGCGGCCCTGGTTGCCGCCTTCGGGGCGCGCGTCGCCCTGCTGCCGCACCAGCGGTCCGCGCTCGCCTGGATGCTCGCCCGCGAGCGCGACGCGTCCGGCGGCGTGCTCGCCGACGAGCCGGGCCTGGGCAAGACGCTGACGTGCCTCGCGCTCGTCGCGACGGACTGGGCCGCCAAGGGCCGCAAGCGCGCGCGCGCGCGGCCGACCCTGGTCGTCGCGCCGACGGCGGGCGTGCGGGCGCAGTGGGCCGCCGAGGCGAACCGGTTCTACGGTTCGGCGGTTGTCGTGGATTGCTACGACGGCGCGCCGAGCGACCCCGCGGAGGCGTCGGCCGTCGCCGACCGCCTCGCGCGGGCCCAGCTCGTCGTCTGCGACCTGACGGCCCTGCGCAAGGAGCGCCACTTCCGGTCCGCGGAGCGGGCCGGGCGCGGCCGGAGCCGCGGCGGCGAGTTGCGCGCGCCGCTCTTCCACGTCGACTGGCGGCGCGTCGTCGTCGACGAGGTCCAGGACGTCGAGGGCCGTTCCGCGGGCGCCGACGTCGCGCGCGAGCTGCCCGCGGAGCGGCGCTGGGGCGTGTCGGGCACGCCCGTGGGCAAGGGGGGGCTCGACGCGCTCTTCGGGCTTTTTTCCTTCCTCGGCGCGGAGCCGTACCGCGACGCCGACTGGTGGGCCGCCCACGTGCGGAGGCCGCTCAAGGGCGGCACGCGGACCGAGCGCGACGCGGCGCTCGCGACGGCGGGGGCGGCGATGGCGGAGCTGGTCTGGCGGTCGCGGAAGGCGGTCGCGTCCGCGCCGCTCCTGCCCGCGTCGTCGGCGTTCCGGCTGAAGCAGCAGCACTTCCTCCCCGCGGCCGTCGTCGAGCCCGGCGCCGCCGAGGTCGCGGCGACGCGGCCGGGCGTCGCGGACCTCCTCGCGGGCGCCGTCGCCGCCGCGGCCGACGCGGGCTACGAAAAGTGCGAGTCGGAGCTGAGCTCCAAGGACGCGCGCGCGCTCCTCTCCGGCGCGGCGTCGAAGAAGAAGCGCCGCAAGGGCGCCCAGTCCTTCCAGGGCCTCTGCCGCGCGGCGACGGCCGTGGCTCTGTGCGAGACCGCGGGCGCGCGCGGCGACGACGCGCCGCCGGCGTCGGACGAGGTCTCGGACTGGATCCGCTGCGACGCGTGCGACAAGTGGCGCAAGGTGCCGCCGGGGATGCTCGGCGAGGCCGAGGCGGCGGCGACGTGGACCTGCGCGGCGGGGTCGCGATCCTGGCGCCGGCCCTACTGCTGCGACGACCGGGAGGAGCCGCAGGCCGCGGCGCCGGCGATGACCGCCGCGGAGGCGGCCCTCGCCGCGCGCGGCTCGTTGGCCGTCGTGCTCCACCGCGTCGCCGCGCGGGGCGTCGCGGACGCGCAGGCCGCGTCCGCGGCGCTCGGCCACCTCGCGCTCGCGGCCGCGCTGCGGTTCCAGCGCGGCGGCGTCCACACCGTGTTCACGACCGCGGGTTCGTACGCGGGCGACGAGGCCGGCGGCTCGCCCTTCGCGTCCGAGGCCGTCGCGTTCCTCCTGGACGCGCAGTCCATCTGTCGGGACGGCGCGTCGGCCGACGAAGTGCTGGCGAACTCGCGGCGCGGCGGAAGCCACGCGGCGGCCGTCGCGGGCCGGAAACTGTCCGGCGTGCCGCCGTCGGTGCTGACGGTGGTCCTCGAGAGATTAGAAGTCGAGCAGCGCCAGCGGGTGCGGCGGCTACGAAGCGACCCGAACGACGACCTGGCGGGCGGCGGCGGCGGTTTGGACAAGAAACTCCACTTTGCGACGATGCGCGCGCTCGTCTACGGCCGGTCGCGGCGCCGCGTCGCGACGGCCATGGCGCGGCACCGGCGCCTGGGCGCGGCGAGCCCGGCGCGGCGCTGCCCGAACCAGGCCTGGCCCCAGATCTGGGCCTTTGTCGACGGGGGCGCGGGCGACTACGTCGCGGAGATGCTCGAAAGAGTAGCAACGGCCGCGCGGAAGCAGGCCTTCCGCGCGACGGCCGGCGCCGACGCGCGGAATTTGGAGGCGCGCCGGGACAACGTGGATCACGGCGCTTTCGAAGCTCGGGCGCTGGACCTGGGCGTCGACGGCGTCTTCGGACATCCCGATGCGGACGCGCCGCGGTGCCTCCGGGGTTTGGTCGTCGCGTGCCTCCACTGGGCGCCGCCGGCGGGCGGGCCGAGCTCGCGCGAGTACGAGGAGGCCTACGTCGAGTGGTGCGCCGACGGCGCGGGCCACCTCGGGGCCCTCGGGCGCATGGAGACGGCGACGGCCGCGATGGCCGCGCCGGGCCCGTTCTGGGCGTCGCGCCGCGCGGGGGACCTGGACCCGAAGGACCTCGCGCCGGCGGCGGTCTTCGCGCGGCGCGTGCGCGTCGCCAAGGCCGTGCGCGCCGTCGTCGAGAGTCTGGGGGACCACCGGCAGATGCGCGACAGCGGCGCGCACGAGGAGGCGCTCCGGGCGGACGCGACGCGGTGGTGCCGCGACCGGGGGCGGCCGGAGCCCGGCGCGGCGCTGGCCGCGGCGGACGCCGCGCGGTCCCTGGCGGCGCGCGTCGCCGCCATGCTGCCGACGGCGTCGGAGAAGCGCGTCGCGGCGTTGGAGGGCGCGCGCGCCGTCGCCGTCGCGGCGCGCGACGGCCGCCTCGACGCCGTCGACGCGGCCGCGGCGCTGGTGCCCGCGCGCGTCGCCGCGGCGCGCAGCGACCTGTCGCCGTCGACGCCGCCGGCGGCCCTCGAGGACCACGCGCGCTGCGGCATGTGCCGCCAGGGCGCGTGGCGCCACTTCGCGAACGCGCGGCGCGCGAATCTCGCGTGGCCGCGGACGCCGTGTCTGCTGTGCGCGGCGCGCAAGGCGACGAAGCTGTTCCGGGCCTACCTTGTGTCTATGGCTTTTGCGGACGCGGACAGCGCGCTCGTGCGTCTGGTCAAGGCCGCCGCGGACGACGGCGCGCCCCGGGGCCGCGGGCCGCCGCCGTCGTCGCTTGCGGCGGCCGCCGTCGCCGCGCTCGAGGCGTTCCGTCTCGACGCCAACGCCGCGGCGTCCGTGAGCCTCGGCGGCGACGGCGTCGCGGCCGCGGCGGCGAATCTGCGGCGCCAGACCTTCGACGAGCGGTTCCGCGTCGCCGACGAGGAGTCGCTCTGCGACCCGTCCGCGGGCGCGGCGTTCTTCGGCGTCCCCGGCGCGCGGTCGGCGACGCGGGCGGCGCTGCTCGACGCGACGGCGGGCGCCCGCGCGCGGCCGTCGCGACGGGCGGGCGAGGAGGACCCCGTGGCCTTCCGCCGGCTCCGGCGGATTCTGCGGGTCCGCGCGACCGCGGGCGGCGCGCTGCCGGCGCGCTTCGCGGCCGCGGCGGCGCTGGGCGACGGCGCCATCTTCGGCGCGCGCGTGGCCCACGCGGAGGCGACGCGCGCCGCGACGCTCGCGTCCGCGATTTTGGCCGCGCGCGGCGACGGGCCCGCTTCCGAGGCCGCGGCGTGCGCGCGCTGCGGCGCGGCGGCGGCCGCGCGGCGCGCGCGCGCGAGCCCCGCGGTCTTCGGCTGCGGCCACGCGCTCTGCGGCGCGTGCGTCGCGACGGACCGGGCGCTGCCCGACGCGGCGCGGCCGCGGGTCTGCCCCGCGTGCCGCGAGGACCACGCGCTTCCGCTCTGCCGCCAGCCTCTGGCGGACGCGCGCCACGACCGGTCCCGCGTCGACTTCGGCGCAAAGCTCGACGAGCTCGCCGACGACGTCGAGGCCCACGTGACGCGCAAGGGGCTCAAGTGCCTCGTCTTCTCCTCCTGGACCGACGCGCTGGACTTGGTCGCCGTGGCTTTGAAGCAGCGCGGCGTCGCGTCCCTCGCGCTCAAGGGGGGCAAGCAGGCGCCGAAGATCCTCGAGGCGTTCAAGGCGGACCCGCACGTGTCGGCGCTGCTCATGAACATCTCGACGAACAACGCGGGGCTGAACCTGTCGGAGGCGACGCACGTCTTCCTCCTCGACACGAACCTGGACCACGCGCGCGAGACCCAGGCGCTCGCGCGCGTCCAGCGCCTCGACTCCAAGTCGGAGACGACGGTGCACCGCTACGTCACGGGGGGGAGCATCGAGGACGCCATCTGGCAGCTGCGCCTGTCCAAGGCGACGGCCGCGGGCGAGCTCAGGACGCGCGTCACCAAGGCCGACGTCTACGACCTCTTCAAGTCCCAGCTCGCCGCGGCGCGGGGGGCGGAGTAGGTGGGTCGGCTTTCTTCCCTGGGGCGTGGTCCTGGCGAACGTCGGGCTTCGACTAGCAGTCTTAGCCTACAACCTTCCCTGGCGCGCCGCGGCGGCCTCCCACTCCAAATGCGAGAGAGCAACATCGTCCGGCTCCGGCGGGCGGCGGGCGCAGTGGGGCTTGTGTCGAGGCCACGCTTCGCGCTGGCACGCGCGCGAGCAATAAAAAACCCGCTCGCAACCGGCACAGAGCTGGTGCTTTTGCGTCGGGCCCATCGCTTCCTCGGGTTTTCCACAGTTTGCACAGAGAGGTCGCCACACTCCAGGGCCTATCTGCCATTTCCACTGCTTACCAGCTTTTTGACGCGCAAGAAGTGGCTGATAATTGCCGCAAGCGGAACCCATCCAATTTTGAGCTAGAGACGCCCGATGTGATTCTTCGGAGTTTGGCTTGTAGAACAGGTCGATGGATGTCCAGGGTATCGTCGGGTCTCTCTTGATAAAGGTTACTTCCATACACGACGGATCGAGTTCATTCATCCTCGCACAGAAGGGGCAGCAGACTATCGGGGCGTCGGGCGTCTCCAGAAAGCGTCTGTTCACATCGTCGAAGTAGCCTCGCAGGACCTTGGCCTCATAACCGTACGGGTCTACTTCTAGTAGCACGAATCGATTTGTTTGGTCGCCGACTCGCTTAGCTTCGTCGCGTTCCTCGCGAAACGCGCACATAATACGTCTGAACTCGTCGCGGAGAGCTGGTCGTGGATGATGATAAATCCTGTACATGGCGTCGAGCTGCGGGATGCTGTTTTTCGGATCGAGCATGCCATCGCGGTAGGGCGGGACTGTGTCCGCGTCGACGAAGAGATCTGGGTGCCGGTCCTCGAACTCGAGCACGGCCTGGAAGTCGCACGGGTCTATGATGGGCGTCGCCACGCGGATGTTGCGAAAAGACGACAATCGCTTGGGACGATATCGGGGACGCACGGAAAGCCATTGAGCCCGGTACGTTCCAGCTATTTTCCCTAGTTCAGCGTAGTAGCGCTCCCACAGTTCATTCGGCATGGCCTGTGTGGTCAGCCTCACGGGCCACTCTCGATCCTTCGCCGCTGGTCGATCGTCGAGGTCGCCGAGCCCCGGCTCGACTCTCCGCTCCGCGCCGCGCTGGTTTCGTTTCTTCGCCGACTTTTTCCCCATCGCCCGCCTTGCGCGCACCGCCTATGAACGAGCCGGGCTGCCCATGCCGAGGGCAAGACGTCAAGCGGCCAACATTGACGACATCTTTCCCCGTCGACCGAGCTGCTCTCCGAGCATGGGCGGAATTCGCCTCGGCCAGCGCACCCGTGTGTGACCGCGTCCTCGGCTAGCGCACCCGCGTGACCGCTTCCCGCTCCTACAAGGCTTTCCTAGGATGATCGCGACACAAACCACCGCCGAGGCCTGCGCGCTGGCCGTGTTGGGCCTCTCCGGGAGCGGCGACGCCGGGGCGGCGCACTCCGCGGCCGTGCTCGGCGCCGCGGAGCTGCGCTTCGGCTTCAACGACGCCGGCACCCTCACCTTCGGCACCATGACCATTAAAAATCCCGGCGACCTCGCCGCGCGCGTCGTCGAGGGCGACACGATGCTGCACGTCGCGGTGCGGAGCTCGCTGCAGGACGTCTGCGGCGCGCTGCTCGCGCCGGACGCGCGCGCGCCGCTCGGCGTGCGCAACGCGCGCGGCGAGACGGCCTTCGAGGTCGCCGTCGCCGGCGACGCGCCGGCGGAGACGAAGGAGGACGCGGAGGCGGACGCGGACCTCGCGCGCGCGCTCGCCCTGTCGCTCGAGGACGCGGCGCCCGCCGAAGAAAGTTTTTTCGGCGGGCTGCTGCCGAGCTGGGCGACGCGCGACGCGGACCTCGACGCCGCCGTCGAGCGGTCCCTGGCGCCGGAGGCCGACGAGCATTTGGACGCGGCGCTCGCCGCGAGCCTGGCGCAGGAGGACGAGGACGCGGCGCGGCAGCGCGCGGAGGACGACGAGGCGCTCGCGCGGGCCATCGCCGCCTCCGTCGTCGACGACGGGGCGGGGCGCGCGTCGCCGTCGGCGCGGCCGCCGTCGCCGGGGGACCTCGCGCGCGCCGTCGTCGCGGGGCGGAAGAGCTTGCGCAAGGTGCCGCCGCCGAAGGCCGCGGCGCCGCCGCAAGCGCCGCCGCCGCAAGCGCCGCCGCCGAAACCGCCGCCGCCGAAACCGCCGCCGCCGAAGCCGCAAGCGCCGTCGCCGAATGTCGCGCCGTCGCCGAAGCCGAAGCGCGCGTCCTTCTTCTCGTTCTCGCGGGCGAAGAAGGCGCCGGCCGCCGCGGACCGGCCGCCGCCGCCGCCGCCGCCGGGCGCGACGCTGCACGCGTCGCTCGCGCCCGCCGTCGACCGCGCCGGCGGCGGCGTCGCGGCGGCGGCGGCGGCGGCGGCCGCGCGGCGCCGGGGGCCCGTGGTCTCCGCGGAGCAGACGCAGCGGATCCGCGAATTGGAGAACACCGTCGCGGTGCTCCGGGGCGAGCTCCAGCGGAGCCGCGCGTCGGGCGCCGGGAGCCCGCCGCCGGGCGCGCCCGCGCCGGCGTCGCGCCGGTCCATCGAGGCCATCGAGGACGAGCTCCGGGCGGCGACGGCGCGGTGCCTCGCGGGCGACCCGACCGCGGAGGCGGACCTCGAGCGTTTGGACGCCGCGCTCCGCGCGCACCCCGACTTCGCCGTGCGCCGCGCGTCGGAGAAGGCCCGGTGGGACCGCGACGAGCGCGCGGCGAACCGCGCGGCGTTGAAGGCGACGCGGGGCCTCGTGCCGCCGGACATCCTGCGGTCGACGGCGGCCAAGGTCCGCGAGGACGTGTCGCGCGCCGTCGGGCCGGGCGCGGCCGCGGACGCCCTGGCGAAGCGCGTCTGGGGCCTCGGGGCGCTGCGGCTCGCGCGCGCGCCCGCGGCCATGCTCCGCAAGGCGCACATCGCGGACCTCCGGGGGCGCTACGCGCTCGCGGGGGCCGTCGACGTCGTCGAGCTCCGGGCCATCTACGCGGCGCTGCCCCGCGACTTCGACAACGACGGCGACGGCGCCAAGGCCGCCTGGCGCGAGCAGGTGCGCGCGAAGCTCGTCGACGCCGTCGACCGGGAGAAGCGCGGCGCGCTCGCCGCGGGCGAACAGCGGCACGCGGCCTACCGCGCGCTGCCGCGCGCGGGGCCCTTCTTCGACACGGACGACGCCGACGACTGGACGCCGGACGCCGCGGACCCCTTCGCCAAGGGCGGCGCCGCCGCGGCCCGGCCCGCGGCGGCGGCGCCCGCGGGGCTGTTGGCGGCGCTCCAGAAGAAGCGCTAAGACGCGCGTGTGTCCTCGTCGGGGCAGTCCACCGCGCTCACCTCAGGCTCGCGTCCTCATGAGTCCCTCGGACATCGCTCGCACTCCAAAACGTATCCGTACTCGTCGGGGCAGTCCACCGCACTCACTCATGAGTACCTCGGACATCGCTCGCACGCCCGCCCCTCGGACACCTTACGGACACCGGGGTTCAACAAGTTCAACGTCGCCCGAGTTGCAATCAAGGTTGCCGAAACTTTTCGGGTCGAGCTCGCTCCGGGGCTGCTAGGGTCTTCGGGACGACCTCCGCGCTGCCGCCGCAGCGCTCCGCGACCGCTCCCAGCCCCCCGCGAGCATGTACGGCACGCTCATGGGCATGACCGGCCTCGTCTCCTCGAAGGGCCGCGGGCCGACGCCGCCGCCGGCGGGTCCCGCGGGCAAGGCGAAGGGCTGCGCCGCGGCGGCCAAGGCGGCCAAGGCGTCCAAGGCGTCCAAGGCGCCGCGCGTGAACCACGCGCCGGCGCCCGCGCCGGCGTCCGAGGCCGCGCGCCCCAAGGCCAAGGTGCTCAAGGCCTCGGCCGCCGGCGGCGACGCGGCGAAGGCGTCGCGGCGGCCCGCGGCGCCGTCGCCGGCCGCGGCCGCGGCCGCGGACCTCGGCGCCGCCGAGCCGCCGATCCGCGAGGTCGAGGCGCCGGCGGTGTGCAAGAACCACCTCCACGGCGTCTACGAGCTGCCGCGGCTCCTGCCGGCCGCCGCGTGCGACGCCGTCGTCGCCGAGGTCCTCGACAAGGTCAAGCGCGGCGCCGTCACGGACCGCGGCGCGGGGCTCCCGACGAAGGACGTCTACGTGCGCGACGTCGCCAACGCCGCCGTGCTCTACCGCGCGTCCGGGCGCCGCGTCCCCGCTCGTGTTGTGTTCCCGCGCGCGCGCGCTCGGGGCGCCGGCCGGCGGCGGCGCCGCCGCGACCCCCGCCGACCCACCCGCGGATCTCCGGTTCCCGCAGGCTCGACGCCGGGTGCCACCTCATCGAGATGTGCACGGGCAAGCTCGTGACCTACGAGCGGAAGAAGGCCTTCCTCATCGCGTACGAGTCGGGCGGCAAGAAGAAGCAGCGCGGCCGCGGCGTCGCGACGAAGCCGCCGCGCGGTGCCTCGAGCGCGCGCGCGCGAACCATCGCCACGCCCGCCGCGCGCGAGCGATCGCTCGACCGCGCGCGCGCGTCGCGCCCCTCGCGACGCGGCGCGGGACCAGGTACGCGGGCCTCGGCAAGCACAAGGACGGCAACCGGGACAACCAGGGCCCGACGCTGCTCATCACGCTCGACGCGCCGACGGACTACGTCGGCGGCGGCACGCGCTTCCACCCCGGCGACGGCTGGGAGGGCGAGCCCGAGGCCGCGCCGCCGCCGATGGACGTGCGGCCGGGCAAGGGCTGCGGCGTGACCTTCGGCCCGAAGATCCAGCACGAGGGCCTCCGCATCACGGCGGGCCGGCGCCACCTCCTCTGCATCTTCCCGGACCTCGTCCCGGAGGCCGCGCCGGAGCCCGAGAAGCGCCGCGTCCGCGACTCCCAGCGCCACGCGGCGCTCGTCGTCTTCGGCCGCCTCAAGAAGAAGGCCTAGGCGGCCGAGCGCCCCCCCCCCCCAAAAGTCCCAAGACCCCCGCGCCCCCCTTTTTTTCGACGGCCGCGCGGCCGCCGCGAGCGCTCGCGGGCCGCGCCGCCGTTCGGTAAGCCCCTCCAGAAAGCGACCGTCGCTCTCGGAATCCGGCCTCTCTTTGCGGGCGGTCGTTGCCCCTGGGACGTCGGTCGTGGGCGAAATCCGCGGCCGACTCGCGCGCGTCGCACACGCCTCCTGGAGGCGTCCGCGCGGGCTGTCTGGACGGGCCGTTGGGTGCAAGTCGACGGCAAGCATCGATGTCGAAAAGCTTCGCGCCGACATCGATCGACGCTTCGACACACACGCTGAGAGCCGCCGCGGCGCCGGTCCGACGTGATGTCGGGCGACCTCCTCGGGTCCCTGCTGGCCGGCGGGCCGTCCTGGGAGTCGCGGTCGTCCCAGGCGACCCCCGCCGCGCCGCCGCCGCCGCCGCCGGAGCCGGAGGCGAGCTCGCCGGGCTGGGCCAGCAGCATCCTGGAGGGCCTGTCCATGAGCTGGGACAGCGACGTCGCCGCCGAGGCGGTGTCGGAGGCCGCGCCCGCCGTCGACGACGCGTCGAGCGACGACGAGGGCGACGCGCCGCCGGGCCCGCCCCGGAGCCGGCGCGAGCTCGAGTGCCGGTCCGAGGCAGCGTCGAGCGACAGGAGTGTTTTTTCTCGTGAATTTCGCCTGAAGTTGTGAAGAAATCCGACCCCGTCGCACTTGGTAGGTCCGAGGCGCTCGGCCGGCGGCGATTGGCGCTCGACGCGCTCGTCGAGCAGTACGCGATTCGGGACGGCGACTACGCGCGGCGCCTCGACGCCCTCGAGGCCGAGGCGGCGTCGACGGCGGCCCGCGTGTCCGCGGAGGTCAAGGACTCGGAGACGGACGAGGCCGCGGCGGACCTGCTGCTCGCGGGAGAGCTCACGCGGCACGCGGACACGCGGCGGACGGCGGAGCTCGAGGGCCTGGAGCTCGAGCGCGTCAAGGCGGCGATCACGAGCGTGGGCAAGCAGCGCCGCCTCGCGAACGCGCGCCAGGTCGCCGCGGAGACGATCACGCAGGGCGCGCTCGTGCGCGCCAAGACGGCGGATGAGATCACGCGGAGCCTCCGCGAGGCGTCCGCGCGGGACCTGCTGAGCCACCCGGACGAGTCCGAGGTCTGGGCCGCGGACCTCGAGCGCGTGCTCCACCACGCGCGCGGCGCCAAGTCGCCGGACCCGCGCGGCCTCACGTGCGTCGTCTGCCTCTGCGAGTCGTCCGGGCCGGAATCAAATCTTCAACCCGACTTCTATGCGAGCGTATGCGACGGTTTCTTCGACGCGAGGCGTCCCGCCGTGCTTCGAGAAAATTAGCGAGAGCGATCGATGCGTCCAACACCCGCCGAATCGACGGAGCGAGAGAGGTGTGACGCGTGGCCGGAAGACCCCGACCGGCGATGTCCGCGCAGGCAACCCGCGGAACGTCGCGTTCTTCGACTGCGGCCACCTCGCGGCCTGCGCCGAGTGCGCCGACGGCCTGGAGTCGTGCCCGCTCTGCCGGCGCGCGATCCGGGAGCGGCGGCGCATCTTCTTCAACGACGTCGACCTCGGCGCGGGCGGCGCGTCGGCGCCGGCCGCCGCGGGCGAGCCCGCGCGCGCGGCCGCGGCCGCGGCGGCCGCGAGCCCGCCCCGCGAGGACCCGCGCGCGCGGGCCGTGCGGCGGCGGTCCGAGCGCAAGTCCCACGCGGGCAGCGTGTCGAAGAGCGACCGCGACGCCAAGGGCGAGGGCATGGCGTCGCTCGTCGGCCGCGACCTCGTCGTCGAGAGCCTCGGGCTCTGCACGGTCGTCCGGCACAACAAGGGCGGCGGCGTCTTCGCGAGCCCCTCGACGCACACGGTCCTCTGCGCCGACGGCTCCAGCCACGACGTCGTCCTCCAGCGCGTCAAGCTCGGCGAGCTCGTCGGCCGGCCCTACCACATCCTCGAGGACGCCGCGACGCCGCCGCCGAGCCCGACGCGCAAGGGCCCGGCGGGCGGACCGCTCCTCGCGTGACCGCGGCGCCTAATTCATTTTGCCTCCGAGATCGACCGCGGCGGTCCCGGGCGCGGCGTCCCGGGCGCCGAGCGACGGCGAACGCGCCGCCGGCGAGAGCCGCCCGCCGCGCCCCCCATCCCCCGGGCCCGACGCGCGATACGAGCAGCCGCCGGAGAGGATTATTTCTTGCCGCTGTCGCTCGAGGACGAGCTCGACGACGACGAGGACGAGCTCGACGAGGACGAGCTCGACGAGCTCGACGACGAGCCCGAGGACGACGACGAGGAGGACGACGACGACGAGCCCGAGGACGACGACGACGACGACGACGAGTCGGAGTCGGAGTCGGAGCCGTCGTCGTCGGCCATGGCGGCCTTGGCCGCGGCCATCTGCTGCTGCATGACGAGCTTCGGCGCGTCCTTGAGGTGCTTCCGGAGCGCGTCCGTGAGGCCGCCGAGGCCGATGGACGTGAAGAAGTTGATGGAGAAGCGCGTGTCCCGCGGGTTCTCGCGCGGGAAGAGGCCCGCGAAGACGTCGCGCATGTACCTGGGCAGGAAAAGAGTGCGAAATGTCCAACTTTGGAGGCTCCTATCTCGGTCGGTTTCCACTCTCGTTTTTGGACGAACGATCATCTCTCGGAGCGCTCTCGACGCGTGGATGCTGTTTCCGGAACGCGCGCGCGCGGAACGCTCATGTTGAAGCGAACTTGAATCACTCGTTTCCGGCCCCGCCTCGTACTGGTCGTCGAAGCGGTCGCGGAGCGTCGGCAGCCCCAAATTCTCCGCGAGGTCCTGCATGAGGATCTTGATGAAGATGCGGCTCGAGCTCGTCGTCTCCTCCTCGTTGAGCCTCACGTACTCGAGGCAGGTCCAGGGCAGCGAGTCCGTGTGGAGCAGGTGCGCGAAGAATTTCGCGACGTTCCGGAGCTTGTTCGTCTCCAGCCGGTGGATCATCGCGTACTGCTCCTCGAAGGCCTTGTCGAAGGCGTCCTGCCAGACCCGCGTCGTCACGCAGAAGCGCTGGCCCAGCAGGCCGTAGTAGCGCAAATAAGTCCGCTCCTGGCTGCAGCACTCGATGAGCATGTTGCAGAGCTCCATCTCGAGGCCCGGCCGGATGTCGAGCTTCATGAGCTTGTGCGCGCACTCCTCGAAGCCCACGCTCGACATGATCGTCAGGTAGATGGTCCGCCGCAGGTTCACGAGGTCCGTCTCCGTCAGGTCCTGGATGGGCCCGCCGACCGCGGGTGTTGCGGCTGTGGGCTCAGCACCATCATCATCATCCTCCTCGTCGTCGTCGTCGCTGCCGGACTCGTCGTCGCCGAGGATCTCGCGCTTGATGTCGGCCCAGGCCGCCTCGTGGGCCTCGAAGTCGTCGTCGACGCGGAAGACGTCGAGCAGGTCCTCCTTGTCGATCTTGTCGTCGAGCGACAGTTCGAACGTGATCTGGTCCTCGCGCTCGACCAGGTCCAGCTCCTCGGGCACCGCGGGGTACTCGAGGAAGCCCGTCTTCCGCAGCGCGAACAAGCCCTCGATGGTGTACTGGACGCGCTTGTCGATGGCGCCCTCGTGCAAGATGCCGCGGAACCGCTCGAAGACGGCGAGCAGCCCCGCGGGCGACACCTGGTCTAAAAGCTGGCCGACCTCCTTCGTGAAGTTCACGGCGATCTCCACGGAGTCGTCCGTCGGCTCGTCCAAAAGCACGGTCAGCAGCTGGAGCGCCACGAGCTCGTGGGCGATCTGGTGGTTCACGAGGTGGCCGAGGAACTTTGCGAACGCCGTCGCCACCACTTTATCGCGCCGCTTGTACGCGCGGCGGAAGCCGACGACGACGCGTTTTAGTAATAATTCGCCGTTCTCGGGGAGCTTCGTGTTCAGCACGGCCGCGAGCGCCGCGTAGATGTGCGTGAAGCCGGGGGACGCGAGCTGCGCCTTCATCAGCGCGCGGCACAACAGCCCCCGGCCGCGGACGAGGTTCAGCTCGAGGAGCTCGGGCACGATGGACCGGATGTTCGACACGTTCACCTTGTTCACGTGGCCGTTGATGCCCTTGCGCAGCGACTCCCAGCTGAGCTTCTGGAACTCGCGGCTCGACGCGTCGAGGCCCGCCGTCTGTTTGCGGAGCGCCGCGATCTTGAAGGGAGGGACGTAGATGCCGCCCGTGCGGCCCGACGCCTTGTTCTCGGCTTGCTGCTGGGCGACGACGTCGGCCCCGCCGGCGTCGGCCCGCTCGCCGGGCTCCAGGCGCGCGCGCTTGGGCGCCGGCGGCGACGCGCCCCGGGCCTGCTCCTCGCCCATGGCCGCGGCGGCGGCGGCGCGGCGGCGGCGGGCGCCTGCGGTGATTGATGAGCGGCGCGGGCGCAGCTGCTTGTCGAACTCGCGTCGGCGCGGGCGTCGTCGGGCGCGGCTGCGACCTGGACAGCGACGACGGCTGTGGCGAGCCGCTCGAGCCGAGCCGGCCGAGGCACCGATCTGCTCTGCGTCACGATGGTGCTGATGGCGCGGCGCTCTGCGACAACACGCCTGGCCGTCGCGCTGGCCTGCCTCGCCACCGCCGCGGCGCTGAAGCCGTCGATGCGACGCGCGCCGGCGCGGAACGACGTCGCCGTCGCGAAGAAGCTGTCGACGACCCTCGCCACGGCGGCGCTCTCCCTGTCCCTGTCGCCGCTGGCGTCCCTGGCCTTCGGCCCCGAGACCATCGAGCTGACGAACATGCGATACGAGGACACGAACAAGAAGGTCGGCGAGATCTGCGCCGGGCGGCCGCTGAAGCCCCCGGGCGAGAAGGTCGCGGCGGGGCTGCTCCCCAAGTGCGTCGCCGTCACCGCGACGGCGTCGTCGAAGAGCAAGAAGGACGTCAAGGACGCCGCCGTCTACGGCTACGTCAAGACGGCGACGGGCGACAGCGCCATCGCCAACAACCCCGACTTCCGCAGCGACGCGGGCCAGTTCGCGATGATCCCGAAAGTGCCGCCCGGCTCGACGGACGTCGCCTTCGAGTTCGTCGCGGTGATCCCCGACTCCAAGGGCGACCTCGGGAGCCTCGTCTTCGAGGGGCTCAAGGCCGTGTCCTACCCCGGCGGCGCGCGCATGGCGACCTTCACGGCCTGCGAGATGGACTCGCTCAGCGACGCGTGCGACGGCGAGCAGGAGAAGTTCCTCTCCAAGTAGGGCCGTGCGCGCACCCTCCTAACTTAGAGGTACAGGCTCGCGGCGAAGACGATGTCGCGCTTGATGGCCGCGGACGCGTCCTCGAACTTGCCCTTGAGCTCGAAGGCGCCGATCGCGAACGCCGCGGACGCGAGCTGGCGGAGGAGCTCGTCGAGGCGGCGGATGACGCGGATCACCGTGCCCTCGAAGGCGTCCGTGACCTTCATGACGTCGACGAACTTGGCGCCGTTGGCCCACTCGAAGAGGAGCTCCATCATGTCCGGGTTGAACTTGTCGACGTACTCGTCGACGTCGACGGCGATCTTCGCGTCGTGCATGGCCTTGCCCACGAGCTTCGCCGCGGCCTGGAGCTTGGCGAAGGGCGCTAAAAGCTGCTTGCGGACGTTGGGCGGCCCCGCGTCGCCCTTGCGCTTCTCGCCGAAGACCATGCAGGACAGGAGCGCGGCGATGACCGGCGGCTCGAGGTCGCCGAAGACGCCGTCGAGCAGGAGCTCGGCGATGACGAGCTCGTCGGCCGTGTTGAGCTCGCAGGCCGCGCGGCCCTTGAGGGCGATGACGGCGTCGAGCGACACGTGGCCCAGCCGCTTCAGGACCTTGCGCATGCGCCGGAGGTCGTCGCGGAGCACGAGCTCCTGCGCCTCCGCGGCGGCCTTGCGCAGGGCCCGCGCCTCGTCGACGAGGGCCTGGCGCGCCGCGAAGGCGTCGACGGGCACCGTGGCGCCCGGCGGGTGCGCCGCGAGCTCCGCGACGAGCGCGCGCTCCTGCGCCGCGACGGCGGCGTACTCGGGCTCCCGCGCGGCGAGCTTGAGGTCGTCGTCGTCGCGCAGCGTCGGCAGGGGCTCCCCGCCGTCGCCCCCGAAGCGCTTCTCGACCTCGACGACCGACGTCCGCAGCTTCGCGCGCTCCTGCGGCTTCCGGAGGTCCTGGGGCATGTAGACGCGGATCGCGCTGAGGCTCGCGAGGGCCACGAGCGGCACGACGACCACGCGCCCCTCGTCGGGCCCGTCGCCGCGCGGCGCCGGCGCCTCGAGGGGCGCGTCGGCCGCGCAGCGCACGAGGACCTCGGCGACGTGCGACGGCCGCGTCTCGAGGCACTCCTGCGTCGCCGCGAGCGCGCCGCAGGCGACGCCGTCGGCCTCGGACGCGAAGGCCTCGCCGTCGCGCGACGGCCGGTGGCGCACGACGACGCCCAGGCCGAAGTCCGCCGCGCGCGGCTCCGCGGACGCGGCCGCCGTCGGGAGCCAGCCCGCCGGCGCGACGACCGCGGCGACGCGGCCCGGCTGGAGCCACTGGAGGCAGTGCTTGGGCTTGCGCGCGAGCACGAGGGCCCGCCGCCGCGTCGCCGCGAGGGCCGCGGCGACGTCGACGTGCTTCCTCGTCCGCGCGACGTCCGCGGCGTCGTCGAAGCTCTGCGCGTCGGCGCCGGCCTGCGCGGCCGCGGCCCGCTCGAGGATCTGGGGCGCGTCGGCCTCCTGCTGGTACTGGTGGAAGGACGACCGCACGAGGTAGTCCGGGTCCGCGCCCTCGACGCGCAGCAGGTTCAGCAGCATGTTGTAGGTCACGTGGTAACTCGAGTCGAGCGCGTCCGCGCCGCCGTACAAGATGTCCTTGGCGACCTGGGGCTCCATCTTCTCGTCCAAAATCTGGATCACCGTGCCCTTGTCGTCCTTGCCGCGCCGCCCCGCGCGGCCGCTCATCTGGATGTACTCGCCCGCGCTGAGCCACCTGGGCAGGACAAGAGTGCGAAATTCCCAACTTCAAAGGCTCCTAGCTCGGCCGGTTTCCGCTCGTTTCGGCTGATTTTTGGACGAGCGATCATCTCTCGGAACGGTCTCGAAGCGTGGGTGCTGTTTCCGAAACGCGCGCGCGCGGAACACTCACGTTGAAGCGACGTTGAATCACCCTTTTCCTGCCCTGTGAGCCACCGGAAGTCCTTGCCGTCGAACTTCCGCGTCTCCGTGAAGACGACGGTCTTCGCGGGCATGTTGATGCCGATGGCGAAGGTCTCCGTGGCGAACAAGATCTTCAGCAGGCCCTCCTGGAATAGGATCTCGACGACCTCCTTGACGATGGGCAGCAGGCCGCCGTGGTGGATGCCGACGCCGCGCTTGAGCAGCGGGAGCAGCGTCTTCACCTGCGGCAGGCCCCGGTCCTCCTCGCTCAGGCTCTCCATGGCCGACCCGTAGACGGCGTCGACGACGTCGCGCTCCTCGTCCGTGTTGAAGTCCATCTTCTTCATCGCGACGGCGTTCGCCTCGCACTGGTTCTTGGAGAACGCGAAGATGATCGCCGGCGCCATGTCCTTCTCGACGATGAGGCCGATGATGCGCTTCAGGTCGTCGTCCTGCTGCTTGCTGTTGCCGCCGCGCTTCTTCTTCGCCGGGCCGGACTGCGCGGACTTGGGCGCGGACGGGTCGTCGCCCGCGGTGAGCTGCGCCATCGCCTTTTCGAAGTTCGCCTCCTTGAAGGCGCCCTTCTCGTCGACGACGAGGTGCAGGCCCTCGCCGCCCGCGGCGAAGACGTAGTGGACCAGGGGCGTCGGCCGGTAGTCCGTGTAGACGACGTGGCACGGCTGGCGGTGCGTGACGGCGATCCACGACGCGAACTGCACGCTGTTCGGGATCGTCGCCGACAGGAAGACGAAGCGCACGGAGTGGGGCAGCAGGATGATGCTCTCCTCCCAGACGACGCCGCGCTCCTTGTCGCGCATGTAGTGGATCTCGTCGTAGACGACCCACTTGACCTCGCGCATGACCTCGGACCCGCGGTAGAGCATCGACCGCAAAATCTCCGTCGTCATCACGAGGCACTTGGCGCTCGGGTTGATCGTGATGTCGCCCGTCATGAGGCCGACGTCCTGGAACTCCTCCTGGAGGTCGCGGAACTTCTGGTTGCTCAGCGCCTTGATCGGCGACGTGTAGATGACGCGCTGGCCGTCGCGGAGCGACTTCGCGATCGCGTACTCGGCGCAGACCGTCTTGCCCGCGGACGTGTGGGCCGACACGAGCACGCTCTCGTCGCGGTCGATGCACTCGACGGCCTTGGCCTGGAACCCGTCGAGCGGGAACGCGTACGTCTTCGCCGGCGGCTTCGCCGCCGCGCCCGCGTCCGCCGCGGGCGCCTCGTAGTCCTCGGGGTAGACGGAGAACGTCGTCATGTTCTTGCCGTTGCTGCTCTCCTTCTGCGCCGACGTGACGCGCACGCCGACCTTGCGCGCCGGCGGCGCCGCCGCGGCGGCCGCGTCGTCGTCGTCCTCCTCCTCGCGCGCGCGCTTCGCCGGCGCGCTCGTCGCCGGCGGCGCGGCCCGCTTCGTGCCGCCGTCGAAGCCGTCGAAGAGCTCGTCGACGTCCATGGCTGCGGCGGTGCAGCGCTGCGCGCCTTGTGCCCTGCTGCTGCGACTTGTTCGAGCGATATGTATGCCCTCACCTCGTGCTTCGCGAACAAGCACAGGCCCAGCTCGTCGCCCGATAGGGAGGCAACGAGAGTGCATCCACTTCAAGATGCACTCCGCCCGGATATACAAAATGCAATGTGTTTCACCATGATGATACTCTACAGCCCCGGAGAGCGCCCCGAGCGCTGAGCAGGGCCTCTGCCGTCGTCGCAGGCGGCGCCGGGACGGCCGGTTCCGGGCCGGTCGGCTGGGTTCGGCGGACTCGGCCGCGTCCGGCGGACCTTGGCTCCCGGCGCGGCGGGCGGCGCCGCGCGCGTCGTCGCCGGCGGCGCCATGGGCGACGGCGGGTCGCGGTGCGTGCGGCTGGGCCGGCGGAGCGCCTGCGGGAGCCACGTCCTGCTCCTGGCCCGCGGCGACGCCTTCTACGGCACGGTGGTCGTGTCCGGCCTCGTCGCGGGCTCCGGCCGGGCCCTGGGCCCGCTGTCGCTGGACGGCGTGCCTCCCGAGTGCTGCGAGTCCGGCGCCGCGCTGCGGCGGCTGCTCGAGGCCTGCGGCGTCGACGCGGCGGGCGGCGCCCTGCGCGAGCCCGGCGCCTGGCGCGCCGAGGCGCGGCGCGCCGCGGGGCTGGCGCCGGCGGTCGCGGTCGCGGACGCCGCGACGGCCGAGCTCAGCTGGCTCGCGTCCGTCGTGAGCCGCGGCGACACGCAGCAGCGCCTCGACGTCGAGGCGGCCCTCCCCGGCGGCGTCGCCGCCCTGGCCAGGGCCGAGAGCGAGACGCGGCGGAGCGACGAGTACGACGACGAGCGCGACCGCCTCGTCGAAGCCCACGACGCGTCGCGGCCGCTCGCGCCGCACGTCGAGTCGTCGCTCGCGCTCTTCGCGCGGATCCTGGACGCGAAGGAGGCCGACGCGCAGGAGGACGCTGAGGCCGCGGCGCAGGAGGAGCACCTGCGGCGGGACATCTCGTTCCTGAAGAAGGCCGTGACGCGGCACGAGGAGGCGGGCGAGCGCGCGGCCGCCGACGAGGAGGCCGACGAGGAGGCCGACGAGGAGGCCGACGCGCGCGCGCCGCCGCTCGACGCGGCGCCGGACCGCGGCGACGCCGCGGCGCTGTCGCCCTACCAGCGCATCGAGCTCGAGGCCGCGGCGCGCGCCGCGGCCGCGCGCGGCGGCGCGCCCGCCGCGGCGCCGCCGCGGCCGTCGCGCGTCGCCGCGGAGCAGCTGTCGCCCTACCAGCGCCTCGAGCGCCGGGCCCGCGAGCGCGAGGCGGCCGAGGCCGCGGCGGCGCCGCGCGAGGACCGGTCCTGGGCCGTCGTCGCCGCCGGCCGGGACCGGGCCGCGGCGAACCGCGCGAGCATGCTCCGGCGGCGCAAGCTCAAGTTCGACGACATGTGCCTCGCGGCCGAGGAGGAGCTCAGGGAGGAGAAGCGCGAGGCCCACGCGGCGGAGGTCCAGGCGCGCGAGGAGGCGGCCGAGGCCGCGCGGCGCGCCGAGGAGGACGCGCGGATGGACCGCGCGTGGGGGTCCTACGCGGCCAAGGACGCCGCGGCGCAGCGCGACGCGTCCTGGCTCAGCGCGACGCTGTCGCGGCGCGCGGAGGAGGACGACGAGGACGACGACGACGACGACGAGCCCGAGGAGGCGACGAAGCCCGCGCTGCTGCGGTCGCCGACGCCCCAGCGGCCGCCGCCCCCGCGGACGCGCGCGCCGCGGTCGCACGGGGACCTCGAGGGCATCGACGAGGACGGCGCGGAGCCGGCGCGCGGCGCGACGCTCGCGACGTTCGACGGCGACGGCGGCGGCGGGCCCGTCGCGCGCGCGGCGCCGCCGCGGCCGGGCATGCTCCGGCGCGCCAAGGAGTCGCACCACGACCTCTACGACGACCAGGACGACGCCAAGGCCAAGTTCAAGGTCGAGCTGTCCGCGCTCCAGGAGACGGCCGCGCGGCTCGGGGCAGCACAAGAGAGCGAAATTCCCAACTTCAAAGGCTCCGATCTCGGCCATTTTCCACTCGTTTCGGCTGATCTTTGGACGAGCGATCATCTCTCGGAACGGTCTCGAAGCGTGGATGTGTTTTCCGTAACGCGCGCGCCGCGGAACACTCACGTTGAAGCGACGTTGAATCACTCTTGTGCTGCCCAGGCGCGGCTCCGGCGCGCGAGCGGCACGCGGCTGCAGATCCACGACGAGGCGGCCAAGGCCAAGTTCCACGTCGACCTCGACGCCTTCGAGGCGCAGACGCGCGCGCTGCGGCGCACGTCGCGGTCCCACTTCGACGTGCTCGACGCCGACGCGAAGACCAAGTTCCACGTGCTCCTGGACGAGCTCGAGGAGGAGGCGTCGCGGCTCCAGGAGACGGCGGAGAAATTCCCCTCGGCGCCCGTCGGCGTCTGGGGGCTCGTGGCCGCGGGGCGCGAGGCCTGCGCGGCGCGGCGCGGGGCCGCCGCGACGCGCGCGCGGCATTTCTTTGACGACGCGGTGCTCACGCGCGACGCGGAGCTCGAGGAGGAGGCGCGCGACGCCCGGGCGGCCGCCGACGAGGCGCGCGCCGAACTCGAGCGCGCGCGCGCGCTCGCGTCGTTCCAGGGCCACGAGCAGGAGCGCGAGGTCAAGGTAAAAGGCGAGGTCTCGTTCCTGTCGCGCATGGCCGACCGGTTCGAGCAGGAGGAGCTCGAGGAGACGCTGGCCAACTCCTGGACCCTCGTCGCCGCGGGCCGCCGCGCGGCGTCGCGCGCGCGACACGCGGGGCTCGACGAGGCCAAGGAGAGCTTCGACCGGGACCGCGAGGACCGCGACGCCGCCGACGACGCCGCGGCGGGCGACGCGGGCGGCGACGCGGGCGACGACGGCCTGCTCGGCGAGCTCGGCGGCCAGCTCATGGGCGACCACCTCAAGCTCTTCAGGAACGTGGGGCTCGTCGTGGGCGACGGCCGGCTCCACGAGCGCGCGGCGGAGCGCGAGGCGCTCGAGGGCGTCCGGGACCGCTCCGTCGAGCCGCGGCTGTCGCCCTACCAGCTCATCGAGCGGCGCCAGACGGAGCGCGCGCGCGCCGAGGCGGGCCTGTCGCCCTACCAGCTCATCG